GTGTATGATTCCCTAATCCATTGATGAAATAACAGAAGTAATCTGAATAACCTAGATTTTTCACATCTGCCACAGGAGCATAAGGATATGCAGAAAGAAGGTGACATGTGGCTCGGGACTATCACAGACACTTATTAATCACTTTAATACGTTTGTTTGCGTTCACCGGCTGTAAACCCCAGCGGAAAGACCTGGTTGTTCGTTCATTTATGGACTTTGGCTTTATTCCAAGACCTAAGTTTGCGTGGCCATACATTTTACAGATCTAGCTTATCTGTATGCAGACTGTTGGTTTCTTGCCTCTCGGGCAGATGCGCTCCGAGTTTGAAAGAAGCTCCCAGTTAGTCGACTCTTACATCATGTTTGTTGGAGAGACAGTGGATCTATTCTCCCCCCCCCCCACCACAATGGGTCCCCAGAATCCACACCGGAAACTTTCATATGTAACTGGTATATATGCCTATAACCTCGTAACGTTGTTGTTTTAACATGTTGATCAAGGCTGGAGTCACAATGCTTACTTCCGCCCTTTTTTTTGGGTTATATGTAAACTCCATTAATTTTTGTCTTGTTTGTGTAAGTTTCTAGGTGAAGTACAAGTTTGAAAGCAGACCGCCTTGCGTTGATTTTGACAACGAAATCAAGGGCCACCCGTTAAGAGACAACTGCAAAGGACATGACGTAAAAATTGCCTAGCAATAATAAAATTTGATTTTTTTTTAAATTTCAAATATGTAAAAATTGCTTGGGTTGGTTGTGCAGCGTCCTGTACAACAAAGCATGTGAGTGGATTATTGAGTGAAAAGTGTTACTCGTTGCGGACTAAATAATTTTGTTTTCAGTTTTGAAGCTTAATGACAATTTTTGTAGAAATGACTAAGGCTATGAACACCTTGTGTTCATCAAACACGTTATGTTTATCAAACACCTTGTGGTCATCAAATACGTTATGTTTATCAAACACCTTGTGTTCATCAAATACGTTATGTTCATCAAACACGTTATGTTTATCAAACACCTTGTGTTTATCAAACACGTTATGTTTATCAAACACCTCGTGTTTAACAAACACGTTGTGTTTATCAAACACCTTGTGTTCATCAAACACGTTATGTTTATTAAACACCTTGAGTTCATCTGAAAACCTTATGTTTTTCAAACACCTTGTGTTTATCAAACACCTTGGTCCTATTTTATGTTGTCAAATTTTTATGTCATTGGTTTAGTAATTTGCAGATCCTTTACAGTTCATCGTAAACTAACCACAGTATTTGGCAGTTTGTGGTTTTACTAAGCCTTTTGACGTTGAGTAGTTTTACAGCAGTTTGCTAAACCGGCGACACTCATACCAGTGTCAAAATCAACATCAAGCTGTCTGCTGCCAAATCGCCTGTAGTTGAATCGAAACGGTATGTTGGAATTATGAATCAGAATTATAAAACTCCATGCATATTCCCTCAACAGCCAACGTATATAGTCATCACTACTTATTGTGGTTGCTACTAGTCATGTTTGTTTCAACCCTAGAGAGGCAGGCATTGCGAATACCTTTTTTACGTCTGCAGCAGCGGCAAATAAAAATACTACAGTTGTGTTTTCCCGAAATTGAATGTTGAATTTAGAATCGACATCATAGCACCCGGGACACCCCTCTGAGCGCTCCGTCCTTATCTTCAGTAGCAAGCGAAGAGTTCCGATTCCGATGGTACCAGTTAACTGCCTGGTTGCATATCCGTGTCGCCTTTCCCTTGAGTGTTAAGCGTCGGCCAGATCCCGTGTAAGCTTCTTGTAGCGCTATTCTCCTCAGACCGAAATAATCTCTCTGTGCATCCACACTATTCACTAATTTCCAAAGGGTCCTCACAACGTCTAGTTTGTCATACATCAGTTCATCACCAAGTGGTGCAGAACCGGCCATTCTGTCTGGCTGCTTATTTCCCAACACACCGGTATATATATAAAAAAAAGGAAAGGACCCTTTTCCACGCCTTTAGGCGTAAAGGGCATATAAGGCTAGACCTATTCTTTATAGACCAATCGGCAAAAGATGGGTATGTGGTCAGCATCACGCCGGCCGCCCTCACTTTCTGGGACTGCACCCGGTACCCACTCAAGGCTGGGTCGGCCTGGCAGCCAAGGTCATTTTTTGAGAAAGTCCAGCTCCGCCAGGGAGCGAACTCACGACCTTCCGATCCGCAGGCGAGCGTCTAGCCGGTATGACCTGGAGAAAAAAACATTCAAATGATGCTAACTACCCTTAATCTCTGAAGTGATGCTTGCCACACTTCACGGAGCATGGCTGTCTCCACCTTTCTCAACATGCTCTGTGAGTCAGTTACATTCACGGCATGCGCCTACAGCTGATTCTCAAGCCAGCGAAAAGCATCAGTGACTGCCTCCACCTCCACCTCCAAAATTAGGACAAGTCTTAAACCACCATGTTGCTCCTCTTTTTTGTTATATACCTTCTGCTATTATTATCTCCTATCCGTAAGACAAGATGCTGTTTACTAACCAATCTTGTTAAATTTTTAGATTTCTCAGGATTCCCGTATTTATATTCATTTTGGTCCATGGTGCATGTGAAATATTTTATAGAGTTTCAGCTCCAAAGCTGATAGTTTGATTTTTAACGGCTGATAAATAGCCCACGACTTACATTCTAATGTTACTACAAGGAGGTTTATGCTCTCAACATTTCGTCTCTGATTTGCTTGCTAATCACAGACTTTAAATGCTGTGTACAACAGTGTTATAAAGGGTCTCAAAATGACGCAATGCACTAAATATACACACATTTTCATTAGTAGTTAAAAGTTAAAAACTTGGGTGAACGTCGTCTCTCTCAAGTTAAAAAAAAAAAAATTGTATGTTGTGTTCTTTAAAAAGTCGGTTGCGTCCCACTTCTGAGTCCCACTCTGAGTCCCACTTCTGAGTCCCACTTCTGAGTCCCACTTCTAAGTCCCACTTCTGAGTCCCACTTCTGAGTCCCACATAGGCACAACCTATTGTTTTGGGCCTACATGTGGTGAAGGCAGTCTGAATTTCTTGGCCACTTTTCATATACGCGAGGGAGTGTATTGTACCAGCCGTAATGCACTTACACCATGTATGTCAAATAGGCGGCCTGCGGGCCCATGCGATCCTTTGCAAGCACACACATGGAAACCTCTGCAATATATATATATATATTTAATTGTCTTTAATTAAGTGTGACGTCAAAATAGCACCATTATGGCAAACAGGGAACCCTCAGATTGACATGCCTGCTTTACACCATCACCAGCAGAAGATGTGGTATGAAGTACATCCAGTAACCGAAGCTACGACTAGCTGTCAGGTTCAGGCTACATATTTCCCACACGCAAAACTACTATATAAAAAAAGTAAAGTAAAGATCCCTTTCCACGCCTTTTGTCGCACCGGGTATATGGGAAGAGAGCCCATATTTTTACAGACCATCGGTACTAGGTGGGAAATGTGGTCAGCATTACACCGGCTGTCTTTACTTCCCCATGACAGCTATCCTAACACCAAGTCTCTTGGGATGCACATTATCTGTTTAAGGGGCTCTGTCTCTCCTAAAGGGCGTTAACGTCTAACACAGCTTATCTAACATTTTCAAGTTACGGTGCTCTTCATAATCTGTCACTCCTCTTGTCATATAAAAATTGTCCATACCAAACGTGAAATCCGAGGCGACGCTGTGGGGAAAACAACATTAGACTTCAGCCTCCCGAAAAAGCATGTCACATGAGTCGACTAACTTGGTGCTTTTTTTTAAAAGTCGGACTACATCTGCATGAGAGGCAAGGAACCAGCAAGCAGCATACAAATGAGCCAGATTTGTAAAACGGATATGCAGGAGGCACTCAGGTTCGGTAACAGACTAAAGTCTAGAGATGAACGAAGAACCAGAACTGGGTTTACAGCTGGTGACCTTAAATAAAAATAAGACACTTGTATTTGAGTTTCTATTTTCAAGAAAATATTTCTAGGAGGAAACTTAATTCAGAGATAAGTGATTTTGCACATTCATTTTTGTTATTGTACCCTTGTTTGTTTGTGTTACATGCTGATGCAAGCTTGCTACCAGGGACGGTCTTTTGTCATTCGTCACTGTCATAATGTGTAGTTCTACGCTTAGCTTGATTTGATAACTTATTATGTTATTATGATATGGCTACGTCAGCAAATAGGAAATCAGGTTTACTGGTAGCGAATCTGCACAAGCGTTGCCTTAGGGTTACGAGAATCATAGGCGCCGGAATCTTATATAACTGGTACAATTACACATTTGAAGATAAAGGCTTCCATCAGCATCCCCCGCGCCCGCACACAATTTGTAAGGGGGATACTCCCCCCGCCCCCCCTAACCTATGTTTGTTTTGTTTGTTGTTTGTTTTAGTATCCAGAAGCCATGAGTTGTTAACCCTTAGACTCGGTGTTATGGATATCGCAACCTTTCGGCCTTGATTCCATTGTAAATACCGAAAATCTGGGAGTGAACCCGGACCACAAGGAGTTCGTCACCTGGTCACCGCGCAATCCGGTTTAGCCAACTACGCTAGAAAACAGGGCTCCCCAACCTATCAATGCAATGCTTGCTTTGTGTCGGCGGAGAGAGAATAAACAAGCATGTACTACAGTTAAAACGCGTTAACATGAACTTACACAGAGGAACACTATGTTAACATAAACTCAAACAAGATGAACACTAGGCCAACACGAACTCACCTAATATGAACACTAGGCTAACATTACCAAAACTGTGGTTCCAGCATGGATACATTACTATTAGTCCACGGCTAGCATAGTTTTGTTTGTTTAACACCAACCCTTTTTTTCGGTCCTTTGAACTTCGTATTAACGAGATTTTATTGTTTTATTAAAATGCATTTATATTTCCACTTATATTGTCAAGAATCACACAACACCAAAAAGGTACGTGTCTTAAATCCATGTATTCATTCTGTAGTCTACCTGTTCTTCTGACAATATTACACAGCAACTCGACAACAAGCAGCAACAGACTGGACGCCGTTCTCGCCAGCATATCTCTGGTATCCATTGATAGCCACACAGGAGTCTACTCCATTGATTGCTGCAAGTGAAATACATCGTTTAGTAACCAAATAAAAATACGCATTAGGTAAAGTAACGAACTCCTTTAATGCCACTGAATTATCATATGTCGAAAACTAAGTAAAGGAGCAAACTCTTCTGATGCCATTAATTTTCCATATGTAGTAAGCAAAGCAAAGTAACAAACACTGTATTGCAACTGGCAGATGGGAAATATGATGTTGGGCCTAACCTCTGTATAGACCAATCAGCACTCACTGCGGATGTGTTTGACATTATGCCTGCTGCATGTACTTCCTAGCGTATTCCCTGATATTCCAGTTTGACTGCGTCGATCCTGGCAGCCCTAGGCCAATTATAACAAATCTGCCTTAATGTTGTTTCGAACCCAAATCCTTTGAGTCTGTAAGCGAGTGTTTAGCCACTGCGACAGCGTTGTTTCCATTAGTATGATAGATACATCCACGGGCAATGGTTGCACATTTAGGGAAATGAAATAGAGATTACTGAAGACAAGACTTGCATATAAGGGCAATTTATTATTGCCACAGTGGCCACAAGTGATACCCAGCAATTCCCTCTACAGTGTTACATCTACAGTGTTACAATGCCATCTGTCAGCATTGCCCGGAACAAACATAAACTGCCCCGGCTGGCTATATTTACCACTGTTGCTGTGTAGGCAGGGGGTTCTTTGAGCCTGAGGTTGAGCCCGCATGGTTGGTGCTGTCGCCAAGAGAGCGCAGGTTAAGAATTTAGTGGGGGGGGGAGGGGGGGAGGGGGGGGACCCCGGACAGAAGGAAAGATCCCAACACTACCGATGATTCGAACCTATGTCTCCCGCATGACAGCCTAGCGTTCTCAACCGTTCGATAGCCTCTCCTCTGTATCTCACAGAAAGATAGTATTTACTTTAGCTTTCAAGCAGATAACTGAATGTCATAGTTCAAAAACAATAAAGCAGTATTAGCGTGATTATTGTAACAAGCAATTAACAGTGTGTGTGCGCACGTGTGAATGTGTATTCATATATGTGTGAGAGAATTTCCAATTCCATTGGCCTGCTTCACATTGTTCTGGCCTCACAAACATGGCCATCATATTTGCTTATCTCTAAGTATGAAATGAGATAGAAGAAAACAGAAGGTAGGTAGGTAGGTAGTTGTACTCCCACCAAGACATCACACAAGCGATAAACACCCGGTGACACAAATGCCACCATGCGGATGAGGATCACCCGTGGAGAGGTCCCAGAAACCCCTTTCAGCCGTTAGGCTATATCAATGGCTAGGCCATATCTATGTCTTGGCTATATCCAGGGCCCCTGGCAGAAGCGAAGGTGGGGTTTCAAATAACAAAAATTGCATCCCACATGGGGACTACTTTTAAGAAGAAAACAGAAGGGTACACTGAATTAATTAGATTAATTATTATTAAACAACAATATACATTTTTACTATAATTCTGATTAAATATGGCACCATTATTAATTATTCTGATGTTAAAGAAACTTCGCTAAAAAGCTTCTAAATAGCCACATTTGTCAGAACTTGTAAGGATAAAATACCTTGAATAAACGCCCCTGCACCTCTCCCATTCGGTGCGTGATAGTTACACCCAGTCAGTGTAAACGAATAGCCAGAGGGACAAGTCAGCACGGCTCTGTCTCCAACATTTGGACCACTGAATTCTGAATACATTGTGACACAGTGAAGGGATGGAGTGGCCTGGCAGCAGGAAGCATAGCCATAGACACCTGTAAAAGGAGACAGCACTACATGTATTCATCTGCTATTTTTAAGCAACGCTGAAAAATTCACTTTTCTATTTTTTTCTTCACCCTCTTTCCACCCTCCCTCTTTAATGTGAAGCATGATGTGTAAATATGCACCTCTTAAGCTCATATTTTCTTTTGCCGTTTCCTCTCCGGGTTAGCAATCTGAACATTGGACATTCAGTAACTTAAAGAGCCCCAAACGGGAAGAGGCATTGAGTGAGCTGATGTCATCAACGCTGTACGGACTAGTTCTGTGAATAAAGACGCACCAAACAGGAAGAAGCAGTGAGTGAGCTGATATCATCAACGCTGAACGGACTAGTTCTGTGAATGAAGACGCCGTAAACAGGAAAACGCATTGAGTTAGCTGATATCATCAACGCTGTACGGACTAGTTCTGTGAATAAAGACGCCTTAAACAGGAAGAAGCATTGAGTGAGCTGATATCATCAACGCTGTACGGACTAGTTCTGCGAATAAAGACGCCGTAAACAGGAAAACGCATTGAGTGAGCTGATATCATCAACGCTGTACGGACTAGTCCTGAGAATAAAGATGAATCTCTGACACTAACACGATTGAGTGAACTGAGAGTGTGCAACACTTCTTAGAATACCATGGATCAAGAAAAGTAAAAACATAGACACTCTTATTATCCTAGAGAACTGACTCATAAACAGCATCCTGTCACGAAAGGTAAAGTATTCTGGCCTCATTAAGCGTCATGGCGGTTTGGAAAAGACGGTGATGGAGGGTGCAGTTTGTGGAAGGCGAGGCAGGGTTTGACCACCGCGAAGATGGATACATGATATTGAAGAAGCATTGCCACTGAAAGCTCATGGGGTGGGGGAGCTGGCTAGGGAAAGGGATACTTTCAGGCGTGCCGTGAAGAGAGCGTAGTTCTGTAAAGGACTTGCTAATTGATAATGATATGTAAGAAAGCCGCCGTAGTTATAGCGGCTTGATACTCGCCTGCGGATCTGAAGGTCGAAGGTTCGGGCCCTGATGAAGTCGAACTTTTTTAAAAACAAAAAAACCTAGGCTCCCAGGTCGACCCATCATTAAATAGGTACCAGGTGAAGTCCTAGGTTATAAAGGCGGTCGTCGTGATGCTCATATTAGAATGTTTCTTTTTTTTTCAAATACAGGGTGGCAAATTTTCAGGTAGCATCTCACAGGGGACAAACTAATAGACACTTACCAACATTCGGATCGTCATTTTGTCCTACACAGAAGACACTTGTGAAAATTGTACCAGCGGATTCGGCGTCATACGTCCATGTACCACAGCCTAAAGAAGTCAGGGGGTAAAAAACGCATGTGTATACCAATTCTGCTAGTCAACAAATCAAACTCACTGCGCACTGAGCCATTTAGTCTAGATGTACTCGAGCTTTCCCCCTTTCACACACACGTAGGCATACACACACACACTATCATACACACACACCCCACACAGGCACGTACGTACACCCATCAACACACACAAACACACAATATCATACACACACCCCACACACGCACGTACGTACACCCATCAACACACACACACACACACACACACCACACACACGCTCTCTCTATGTGCAGCCCTCATCGTGTGTGAAAGAAGCGAGGACACCAGTTCTGTGTATAGTGACTATGGTGGCATTTAATCGTTGCACTTTGTGCTGAAATATCTAAAACATCCAAGCTCATTATCTAAGAAAGTGTACAACCAAGACAAATCAAAAAGGTTTTGGAAATCCATTGCAACCAACCTTTACTGTGGAGTCGGCACCTGACTGACTGATTGTCTAAGCTGTAAGCAACAGACAGCAGATGTCACATTAGCTGACAGTTGCAATTTGATAGGTTCGGATGTAACCAATAAACATACGTATCTTCTTCTGCTTCTTTGCCATCAGCGGATGTAGACTCTGGCGGAAAGTTATAGTTGCTCGTCCGCTCTTTAACTCTGGTCTTGATCCAGAACTTGAGTTTCGCGTGCACATCCGTTTCAAAGATATGGCTTTGTTGTATGCAGACTGTTGGTTCCTTTCTTCTTGGTCGATGGCCTCCGACTTTGGAAGAAACGCCCATAACTAGTCGCCTCCAATGCTTGTTGGAGGTAGGGGAGGGTGGAGAGAGGGGGTGGGAATCTAGTAGGTCTATTCTTTCTTTTCCAAGATGGAGCGTCATATCCACACAGGGACAACACAAATAAAATTGTCATAATGTTATAAGAAATATCACAGAAAAATTAAAGCGTTTCGCAGAACTGACCAACTACTAAGTTACAGCCTTATTCAGGATGTAGGTGCCCTGGTATCTGGAATTAGACTACAGGTTGTGAACGTGGTTTGTTATTCTAAGATACCCGGTATCATTGCAGCGGCGAGCGACTTGGCAGCAGACCACTTGATTTCGCCAATGGTATGTAAAGCCGACGTTTCAGGACAATGGGAAACTAATGAGCGATAAATTTCATAGTAAAACCATAAACAGCTAACAGATACTGGCGTTGGTTGGCAACGTCATGTCAAGTATGTGTAAGCAGCTTGTGATTATCTGTGGTTCTGATCTCACGGGTCTGATTCTTTCTTGCAACTATCAAAAGTGTCAAAACATCCTTGACTGCATTTGTATTGCTAATGTTTCTATCTATCTATCTATCTATTGTCTTCTTCACTTTTACCGGGTTGCAGCCCAATGTCGTGGTTTAAAATATTTGTTTTGTGCCTCTCGCGTGATTTGAGTGATAGTTTTCTGGATCTTCTGGCCGTATTCAGCTACTCCATCTATCCATTTTTTCCTGGGTCTTCCTCTGGCCTTTTTTCCCGATGTTCTATTGTAAAAGGCTTTATAGGCAATCTGATCCGGTTGCATTATTACTAAATGACTAAACCACTTCATTCTCTGTCTTTCAATATGTTCCATGCATGCTCTTGTTCCAACTTTGTCTCTAACGCTGACGTTTGTGACTCTGTCTCTTCGTGTATTGTTGGTGACTCTTAACAGACATCGCATTTCACACGTAGTTATTTTTTGCATATGTGATTTGTTCATTGTCCACGTTTGGCACTGATAACATAACGTAGCGATGAAAATGCTGTTGATCATCCGTTGTTTGCTAATGTTTGAAGTACAGAAAATGCTTGACAAAGCAGTCGTCATCCTTTGCACTGACTTAGATTGATATTTTGTTTCCGAAAGGTACAAAATGTTAGCTTCTCCAAGGAAAAGAACACTTTGTTGTGAGAGGTAGGCATCTTAATTACCCCCAACTCTCAATTACATCAAACATTTGCTTTGAACCAATACTATTTTAAATAATACGTATTTTTAGAGAAGGTTAGTTGAGTATCCTTTACAGGACGTTGCAGAACCAAGTCCAACAGCTGTTGTGTGGGTTTTCTAGAAAATTTACGTCAAGTAGTTTGCCATTGCTTTCTGGACGCTCGGCTTTCTTGATACTACTGTCGAAACCAACGCAAAGTGCATGGCCCGCAGCTGAGATAGAACCCGGCACCCCGGCATTAGGCAGCGTTCGCATCGATTTAGCCACAGAGCCGACCATTTTTAGAGATGCACCTTAAATTGTTTGAAGCAATTCTTACCAAGTGGATATTCATTATTTTCGCAGGGAATGATGACCTCATCTCCTTCTCCTTTACCCGATGGGCCGGCAGTTCTGTATCGGCACTGAAGAGTTCTGAGACTGCAGCATCGTGCCTCGGCTTGAACACCTGGTTGACGGTAGTTTCAACAGAAATCTTTTTATGTTTATAGTAATAGGTTGGCTTTTTCGGGAACGTTAAAAGAGGGAGAGAGAGAGAGAGAGAGAGAGAGAGAGAGAGAGAGAGAGAGAGAGAGAGAGAGAGAGAGAGAGAGAGAGAGAGAGAGAGAGAGAGAGAGAGAGAGAGAGAGAGAGAGAGAGAGAGAGAGGGAGAGGTTAAGAAGAGGACAAATAAACTAATAATCACCACTGTGTTGTATGTATTTTGATGAAATCCTTCTCCTCAAAACATACTCTAAAGACTGAATCCTTCTATTTTTCTCTGTCCATGCCTTTGCACACACACACACACACACACACAAAAAGCGCCTTCAATTTCTGATAGGTACAGTGCTTGTGGTAACTTCTGCTCAGTCTTCGAGGAATCCTGCTTTCATTACTGTTCATTTTAAACCGGCTCTCTAGCGTAGTTGCTAAACCGGATTGCGCGGTGACCGGGTGACGAACTCCCCGTGGTCCGGGTTCACATTTTCTACCAGATTTACAGTATTTACAATGTAATTAAGGCCGAAAGGTTGCGATATCCATAATACCGAACCAAAGGGCTAACAACTCATAGCTTCTGGATACTAAAACAAACTGCTTGGATATTTTATTTTTCAATTTCTGTAACAAGCTGTTTGTAAGTTTTCTTGAATGTTCAAATTCTATTTAAAAAAAAAAAAAAAAAATTAATTTAAAAAAAAAAAAAGCACCATATCCTACGAGCTGTTGTAACAGTTTAGTTAAAACCTTGAATTTATGCATTTATTGCAAATTGGTTTTTTAACTAGTCTCTTTTGTTTCATTCGATTTGTAATATTGTTTTTTAAATTCATGTTGCCGTTGTGCCATGCACTTTACTGTCTTTCTGTGTGTGTTGAAGGTTAAAGTCGAGAGGATCGACATCTTTGCCTCGTGGTTTATCCCATATTGTGTGCGAGTGTGTTTGTAGTGTGTGTTGTGTGTGTTTTGTGTGTGTGTGTGTGTGTTTGTGTATGTGTGTGTGTGTGTGTGTGTGTGTGTGTGTGTGTGTGTGGGGGGGGGGTCTGTCTCAGTGATTTTTATTTGCCACCATTTATCAATAAAGACATTTTATTTATTCGGGTATTTGTGATTTTATTTTGTAATTGTTTCGTTTATTAAACAAACGCGTCTCTCATAACGTCGGCGAAAGAGTTAACATCCGGCCTACATTTGAGGGTAGTAATATGTCTCGCAGACATTCCTTCTACTGACTGATTCAACCACACCAGGAGCGTACGAGGAGCGACAATCATTCTTGATCTTGCAGTTTCAATTAAATGAATCGAAGACATCTTTTGTATTTAGAATGTAGTTTTTTTAAAAAAAGGCTTAATTAAAACGATGCTATGGTTACTACCAGCACTAGGAACAGGGAGCATCCCAGTTTTGATATTCGGGGCGTCGAACAAGGAACTCTTAAAGGGAGAGGGGTGCTCAGTCTGCTTATAACTTATATAACAAGGTGGTGGCTTCAAGCTGGATATCAACTGTGAGATACCATCCAAAGAGGAAATTAGAAAAGCTATCAATCTTCTCAAGAAAGGAAAGGCGGCAGGTCAGATGGTATCCCAGCTGAAGCCATCAGGGCCAACATAAACACATCAACAGAATTGCTACATAGATTATTCAGTAAAGTCTGGGAGACTGAAGAAATACTAGCAGACTGGAGAGAAGGATATCTTGTGAAATTGCCCAAAAAAAGGTGATCTACAGGAGTGTGAAAACTAGAGAGAAATTATGTTGCTATCAGTTCCTGCAAAAATATTAAGTAGAATTATTTTGGAAAGATAAAAAGATGCTATTGTTAAAAAGCCAAGAGATGAACAGACAGGTTTTCGGTCAAACAGATCCTGTACTGACCAGATAGCCACATTACGTATTATAATAGAGCAAAGGATTGTACTGAACTCACAACTTTACATTGGATTTATAGACTACGAAAAAGCATTTGACAGCACTGATAGGGAATCTCTCTGGAAATTGATGGGACACTATCAACAGACAATTTTTAACTTAGTAAAGGCAACATATAAAGGCATAGAATGTCGAGTTCTTCATGAGGGAAAGCTAACAGATATATTTCAAATAAAAACAGGTGTCTTTTGTCGCCTCTCTTATTTTTACTGGCTATAGACTGGATTATGAAAACAGTAACTGCTAACACCAAGAATGGAATTCAGTGGACCCCTACAAAACAGCTTGATGATCTAGACTTCGCTGGTGATATTTCTCTTCTGTCCCATTCACGGAATCAGATGCAAGATAAATTAAACATACTTGATGCGAGATCACAACAGCTTGGTCTGGAAATCCATAAAGGAAAGACAAAGATAATGAGAATAAATCAGGTAAATAGTAATGTGGTTTCTCCTAATGGCACCCCACTCTAAGACGTGGAGTCGTACACATATTTGGGCAGTAATGTAGATAGAGATGGAGGAACTGATAGAGATATTAAAATAAGAATACAAAAGGCAAGAGGAGCTTTCATAGCACTAGGGAATTTGTGGAGGTCAAAAGAAATTAAACGAAATACTAAACTAAAAGTGTTTAATTCTAATGTCAAATCAGTACTATTATATGGGGCGGAAACATGAAGAACAACTAATGCAATTACTAATAAACTACATTCATTGACTGGTGCCTGCGCAGAATAGAGGGAATTAAATGGTATGATAGAAAAACTAATGTAGAGCTTTGGGATAGGAAATTTTTTTAACGGAGGGGTCCTAACGCCTCTCCCATCTCAATGCTTTTTGGGGCTTCACCAAAATTCCAGTGCTCCAGAATCTACCGATAAATGAATAAATCGACACTTCTGAGTCCAACTTTCGAGTGTTGGTACTTTGTATTTTTAGATACATTACATGAGAACAGTTATTTGTCAATGCGAATTTACAGCTGTTTGCAGACTTTAGTATTCTTACACCATACCAATTTATTTCTCCTGTCTCAGATTGTCCCATTATAGCTTATTGATCAGATGTTTCTTGTATATTATTTTTCTCAATTCCAATAGGATAACACCTTCAATTTCCTTACGTTTTGTATCTTCTCTTTATATACCTAATGATTTAAACTCTTACACAATATGATATAGGAGAAATATTATTGCGCGTCACAACCAAAAGCTTATGAAACATAACATCAACATAACAATTGTTCTAAGTATTTGATAAAACAAATAAAACAAGATGTTGTTGCGATTGAATATACTCACCTGCAGAAGAATAATATCCGTTGAATGCTGTACAAACAGCCTTCCCATTCACAAAAGTCACTTGTTCACCATCTCGACGCCAGTCATTGTTCTGAAGATCAGTTCATTAAAAACATTTAGTTCAAGTTACAGACTCCACGTCCATGAATAGTGAATAGTTGATATATCGTGCTGAACATTACATCTCCCCCCGACACTTCGATGAGGTACAAGGTGGAAGAGAATAAGAAGAAGGAAAAGAAGTGGCTGGACTCTCTTGTCTTTATTTTCTGTCTAGTCGAATGAAAAAAAAAAAAGAAGCTTTTATAGCACTCTGTTGGTATTGTACCCATTCCTCGACAGGTTCTATGTTCTCAAGTAAATACACCTGCTGAATAATGTCCTCGGCCTGACCATTCCACGATGTTCCTTTTTTTTATATGCTGCCTTTTTTTTTCTAAACGTTATCATGCAGCGGGTGTCGTTTGTCTACGTTGACTCTGAGGTAAGCACTTGCTTGACAAATTTGAATTATGTCTCCAGTGTTGGACAGTCAAGAAGGCAGCGAATCGCCCTGCATGTTCTATCTCGTGTTCATCCAGATATAAAATAAAAGACTGCTAGACTAACAAAAGATTGAGACTGGCTTTTACAGACGTCTTTTAAGACAAACTTCAATCGGTCAACAAAATTGACATTGGTATCTACCAGGATTACAAGAAAGTGACAGCTACAGAAACGCGTATTCAGAACAAGAGCTGGCCTCACAGTAACATCAAGAGTGAGGCAAGGGGATGTTATTTCACCCCTACTTTAAAAAAAATTCATGGACATTATTGATATAATAGTCATAACATCGCCATATGTAGATAAACTGGACGACCATGAGCTGACGATCAGTGCATTTTCCACAGTGAAAGTAAATAGCTGCAAGACCACATAAACTAACTAAACGACAGCTGCCTTAAACATCACATGAAGATCAGTACTAAAAGAAAAGGTCATGAGAATAAGTTGAGAGAAGTTAGTCTTAAAAACAAAATGCAAGAATTTAAATATTTGGGAAGAATCTTTATACACAATGGTAAAATACGCAGAGAGATAGAAACGAGAATCCTACAAGCCAACAGTGTCACGTACCAACTTGCTCCAATTTTTAAACACCCTGTTGTCTCAGCAGAGAGGAACATTATAAATACAATATGTATACCGACTTTAGGTTACCAGTGTCAGACTTGGATATTGACAAAAGAAAACGAAAGAAAACTAACCACCTGAGTGATGATTTCAGAATGGCTGTGAATAAAACCAGAAGAAATGGAGTGAGAAACGATGTGATCACAAGAACTGTTGTAACAAACACCCATAGTACAATTTATTGAGAAATAAAGAATGAAATAGTTTGGCCATCTAATGAGAATGAATCCAACGATGCCATCAGCCACAACGCACAACTTGAAAATCGAAATACGGAGAAGTATGGGAAGACCAAGAAGAATATAGATTGAAGGATTCGCTGACACCTTGAAACTGCATAACATCACGGCATATCAAGCGACAGAGCGCGCACTGGCTCGGCTGCAGATCGTCTGATGAATTGCGACCCTAGCGGCAAAAGCAGATATTGACAAAGGAAGAAGAAAGAATATATATATTTATGTGTGTATACATGCACACACACATGCAGGTGTCAAGATGGGTATATATGACGATGCGCGAGAGCAACATTGGAAGAAGAGGACGATGCTTTAAAACGCGTTTAAAAAAAATCCTCACAATAACTAATCATTAAAAACAAACTGGTAACGACTAAGCTAAGAACTCTTACAGTGGCAAAGCTGGAGCACCCTGCAAGAACCTCTCCAGTGTTGCAACTGATTGAGGCTGTCCTTTCATCTCCTATTGCAGACACAGGTGATCGTCGGGACACACACTGGAGTTGTTGAGACTGTGACGTGGACGTTGCTTGACCTATTGTCTGAAGGTTCGCACTGGATGTAGCAAATGCAACGTTTTGAGGTGGTGCAAATGGATCAAAAACAGGTGGTAGCTGTATTTCTATAGGGAATATAGTGGAAAATCGTTCATAGATTTTTTTTTCAAAGTAAACAATCAGTTTGCTTACAGTAATTGAGTAACAGCAACTTTTCATAATATAAAATTGAACTAGTTTCATAGCGTTTCACTCTCATGTAGTCATTTCCAGCGTTATCCTCCCGTGAGTTGTGGATTTTTCATTGAAAACGGAATATGCTATCAAAATAACTACAACTCATGAATGCAGAGAATACCACGATAAAAGGAAAAACAAACGCAGCGGTTCTCTTCAAGACATATGAAATTAGTAAATGTATTAGAGAAATGAAACACAGACAGGCAATGTTTTTTGAACACGTTATGACAAGGAATGGACTCCGGAACTAAGAAACAAAGGACACGAATGCTGGAAAGAAAGCAAGGTCAAGCAAAACATAAATGCCTGGATGGCTTGAAACATGGATGGAGCTAGAAAAGAGTACAAGTAAAAAAAAAAAAAAGGTAAAGGACCCTTTCCCACGCCTTTAGGCGTATAGGGCATATAGGGCTAGACCTATATTTTTATAGACCAATCGACACAAGATGGGTGATGTGGTCAGCATCACGCCGGCCGCCCTTACTTTACCGGGACTGCACCCGGTACCTACTCAAGGCTGGGTCTACCTGGGAGCCAAGATCATTATTGAAAACAGCCCGGCTCCGCCACGGAGCGAACCCACGACCTTCTGATCCGCGGCGAGCGTCTAGCATCTCGGCCACGGCGACTCCTCAGGTAGAAAAAAAAACATTGCACTAATCCATGATTCTTGTGGACCAGAGGGTCTTGGCTTCCGAAGCAGCACTGAGTCGGATTTAAAAAAACAAACAAACATAATAACTGGGTCCTCGGGTCAACCCAGCCTAAAATGACAAACAGTCCTGGAAAGTTAAGGACGTTAGGTGTAATGTTGACCACATCATCATCAAGTGTTGATTGGACTTTACAAAATATAATTCTAGCACCACATGGCCGATTTGCCACCGGCGTGAAAAAAGGACATTTTGCTTTGTTTTATTCATGTGAGACCCAGTAACATCACTAACCTGTGGTTGAGTTCACAACTATTGCGACCGTCTTGTCAGCCTTCTCCAGAGTGAATGTAGATCGCTGTACCGGCTTGCCCTTGTAGTACACAACCACAGCGTAGTCTCCACGAAAACCTCTCACTGTGAACGAAGTGCCTGACGTCAGAGATTGTTTCACATGAGTGCTCCAATCCTGTTTGATCAACCGCTGGAATCGCTTGCCAGCCTCGTCGAGCTACAAAGATACGTCAGAATAGTATTGTTATATAGTGGTAGTGTAGTGGTTAGTGTGATAGGCTTGAGAACGCCAAAGACTACTGTTCAGCAGCTTTACGATTTTGGTTTATTTGGCTGAAACAGCTATTAGTTTCAGACGGTAACGCGAAGAAACCTGGCCAGCCATCATATATAAAAGACCTTGCTTAGTCTATTAGCAGTATATTTGGCTTCGCTCTGTGGTGGGCCCGGTATGGTCAGACGCCCTGTCTGCCGTCGTTTGACTGCACTTAGTCTCAACGCACAGGTGTGTCAGATTGGATCGGCTGAGCGACTCTAGACTGGCTCGTGTTCGCGATAATAGTACGTTTCATTTGCTTAGGTAATGTTTGATTTGACTTCCATTGTGCATCATCGCTAGGAGATAGTTTGATGTCAAGTCGCTATAAGTGATTTGTTGGTCTGGTGGCATATTGAAGCGTAACGTACATGTTTTTGTTGTTTACATGGTTTTTGCGATTGTTGAGGTAATCTCTCTGAGCGTATGGTGTCATTATCATACTTCCTTGTTAGCTGGAGATGATTAGTACTTTAGATTCTGCCTCTGGTCGAGCACGTTGGTTGTTGTTAATGTATTATTTGCGAAGTATACGTTAATTCTGTGTTCATTTGAGTAAAAAACAAACACAGCTGTTTAATGTGATGATTATAATTTATTTGCTTGATTTAATTTAGGATCTGTGGTCTGTGCACATGGTTCGCCTAGGTTTATGTAACCATGTAGTTAGGTTGTCGTCATGTAACTCACTATACAGATATTCTTTGTCTGGGTTCTGGTGGAATATTCTAGGATCTCTGCGCAGAGAAACCCCCGGTCTTTTCTTTACTTTTCCTGTTTAGCGGGGAACTTATTTTTTGTCCTAGCCACAATGTTCCTTTATCTACCCTATTTCTGTGTTTTTCCTACTTTTTCTTTCCGCTGGCACATTGAAATACTTGCCTGTTCGTCTAGTGTTCAAAAGGTTCGAATTTTCATTGTGGCGATTTTTAATAATCAGGTTCAGTAAGAAAAAAATTGATACAATATATGTTTTGAGAAGTCTTTAAATGCTGTCTCAAAGCCGCATTGCTTTAACTATATATATCTTCAATTGACATGATTGTGTGAAATCCGAGTAAAGTTTGGTGAATCCTGGCTATGCTGCCTTTGAGGGCGAGACAGGGGACATTATAATCAACTGCTCATGGGAACAAGCAGCAGTTCAGTGTCGCAGGACTGAGCATGCAAGGCAGGAATGTAAACTGAATCATAGGACAGATAATACATGAGAAGCACGTCATTTTAACTGAATACCTACTCCCCGTGTGGGTTTCCGGGCCTGAATTTGGGGGAAACTAGAATAGATCCACTGCCTGGCGGGGAAGGGAAGGGAGAGGGGGGGGGGCGTTTTCTTCGAAGTCGGTGTGTATCTGCCTGAGAGGCAAGAAACACCCAGTTGCACACACACACACACACACACACACACACACACACACACACACACACAATAATACGGATATACACGCAAAACTCAGACCCAGGCACAAAGCTAAGGTCCAAAAGGACGAACAACCAGAACTTTCTGCCGCGGTGAACAAATAATAATAATACACACAAATGTGCACATTAATAATGTATGAACTATAATGAAGAATAGCCTGACAAAAAATAATCACCACAGTAAGCTTATATTTCCAACTAAGCAATTTTTTTTTTTTTTGCTTAAGGATATTGTGTGCTTTGTTTAACCTAAATGAGCACACACAATTTCCTTTATATCAATTATTTTAAGGTGTCTCAGATTCTCCCAGCGGGGGTGTTGATCGCATCACTCACCGAGTGCCGATTGGTCTGTGTTTAAAGAAAGAGAGACGCTCAGGCTTGTCGTGAAGAGACCCATGTTCCTGTAAAGGACATGTTGTTTGATTGCTTCATACTGTTTTTTTAATAAAAAAATTTCTTCTTAATTTTTTTCAACGGATGCTGCAAAAGCTTGTACATTAGTGTTATACACAGGCAAAACGTTCAATATATTTAGCCTACAAAAGTAAGAGAGTCGCCGTGGCGTAGCGGCTAGACCCTCGCTTGCGGATCGGGAGGTCGTGGATTCGCTTGCTAGCGGAGCCGGACATTTTTCAAAAAATGACCTTGACTCCCAAGTTGGCCCAGCCTTGAGTGGGTGCCGGGTGCAGTACCAGGAAGTAAAGGCGGCCGGTGTGTTGCTGGCTACATCACCCATCTTGTGCCGTTTGGTCTATGAAAATATAGGTGTAGTACTATATGCCCCATTCGCCTAAAGGCGTGGAAAGGGTTCCTTTACTTTTACTACAAAAGTAAACATTCCACACGGCATAGAACATAGCAGCAATTCAAATATAAATTTAAAGAAAATGAGCAGACAATTATTATTATAAGTAATACGAAAGTTTCACTGGAGTTGAGTTGGGTTTAGAATCGATATTAACACCCCTTGTTGGAGTCACCGTGGCGTTGGCAGCTAGACGCCGACTGCGCATCGGAAGGTTGTGGCTTCGCGTCCTGACGAACTGACTTTTGTTTCAAAAATGACTTTGACTCCCAGGTCTACCCAGCCTTGAGTGGGCAGCAGGTGTAGTCCTGGGAAGTAAAGGTAGCCGGCGTGATGCTGACCACATCACCCACCAAGTGCCGATTTGTCTATAAAAATATAGGTCTAGCCCTATATTCCCAATCCCCCTAAAGGCGTGGAAAAGGAACCTTTACTTTTAAGAACTGATATAGAATTTCAATAAGCATTCTTTCAGCATTTTCAGCTGTCAGAGCAATATCCCAGTTACGATAGTGTCAGTAGCAGTCTGATTGTATGTTCGTCTTGCCTTTCCTGTGGGTATTGCGTGTCGGCCAAATCTCCTGGTACCTCTCCGATCCAACATTCTCTTCAGACCGTGATCTGTATGTACCTCCGCACTGCCCACTGGCTCCCAAAAAAAAAAAAGAAGCCTTGATAATAATACCTATCTTGTTATGCGCCACTTTACCACCAAGTGGTGCAGATCCTCTTTGTCTGTTTGTTTCCGCCCTGCATTTTAATAAGAAAATATCCAAAAGACGCTAACGGGACCTTTGAAGCGATGTTTGTTCACAGAAGCTGATCAACACTAGAGCAAATGAAAAAAAATCCAAAACATAAACACCGTTATAAGAACAAGAAAGGAGAACAAAATCCACACCTTGTATGTGTAGCCATGAAGAAGAGCATTGTTTCCGTTGACTTCGTGGTCCCAGAAACCCAGAAATGAGATTCCTTCTACAGAGGGGTGACTGAAGTAGAGTCTCAGTGCATCCTCGTACCTGAAAGCAGGGTACATTGCTATGTAAGGAGACAGATAAGGTCGCTATTCGTGGACATAGACATTCATGGTCACAGATATTTATGGACATAGACATTCATGGTCATAGCTTTTCATAGACATAGATATTCGTGGACATAGAAATTTATAAACATAGGTATTCATGGATATAGAAGTTCAAGGGCTTAGATATTAATAAACGTAGATATTCATGGGTATATATGGATTCATAGATAATATATTCACAGACATAGATATTCACGGATAAAGATATTCAAAGACATAGATATTTATGAATAAAGATATAGACATATTTATAGACATTGATATTCATAGAAAAAGACATTCTTGGACATAGACATTTATAAACATAGTCATTCACTGACAATGGTATTCAAGAACATTGGCATTCATGGAAATAGATATTCACAGACGCACACATTTATGGACATAGACATTCATGGACGCAGACATTTATGAACATAGACATTCATGGACGCATACATCCATGAATAGATATTCGTAGACATAAGCATTCATGGACTTAGTATTCATGGAATAGAAGTAATACATGGACATAGATATTCATGGACTGACTGACTTTCTACCCCACCAGGACATCACACAAGCGATAAACACCAGATGACACAATGTGCCACCATGTGAATGAGGATCACCGTGGAGAGGTCCCAGAAACCGCGTTCAGCCATTAGGCCCTATTTATGGCCGGGCTATATTGCGGCCCCTGGCAAGAGCCAGAGTAGGGCTTCAAATAACGAAACATTTCATCCTAAAAAGGACGGGAAGTATGAGTTACACAATAATTCGTGGACGACAACATTAGGTCCATGTTCTGTGTGTCAGATAAAGAGGAGTTGCCACACAAAAAATATCATAACAAATTTGGAAGGGAGAAAAAAAAAGGGGGTGGGGGAGGGGCCCCAGCTACTTAAAGGTTCTAGGGGCGGGGCTCAACCATTATCACTTTCTAAGCCGAGAAAAATATACTTTAGTGAAAAGAAAGTATTGAAAACCTTACCAGTCTGCCTTCTGGTGTTCATCACTAGATCCTACACTTAACTGAGTTATCCACAGGGGAAGTCCTGCCGCTGCTAGGGTTTCTAGACGGGCCTGTTGACATTTGTATTGTACATGTGAATGTGATACCTTTTTGTGTGTGTGCAGGCCAGAAATTTATAAATGTTTCTTGTGTATAGTCCTTTACCTTTTAAATTTTTATTAAGGAAAAAGAATGTTAAAACAGAATTTGTTCACATCTTTAGATAAAGTTTATCTAGCAAGAAAATAAAAAACTGCAGGGAAACAAATCATCGACACTGTGTAGCATGAATGTACACATTTAAAATGAACAAAACATGAACGTGAAATATTTTTATTTTTATTTTAAACAAGAACACAGAGTTAATTAATAGGTAATTTAAATAGGCCTGAAATAAAAGAGTCAAAATTTACAGTTTTTAGTTTTTGATGTAAGACCGCTGCAGGAATTTTGCCACCAGCAAGCTATCTCCATTTATGCAAACAGATTATGTCAGCCGGTGCGGCTTTCTCCTGCATACAGGTACTAATGTATTGCCGGGCTGTCTCAATCGACTTAAACACTTCCAAATGTGCAACGAGATTTTTCAAGTGATCTAAGAATACATCCTTCTCATCACCCTCTTATATCGCTTCAGCCTGTGTCGTCATTTCCACAATATCATTGTCAAGTATTTCATCAAGTTAGTAGTTTGCCACCCATTCCGTAATGTCATCGGTATTTACAGCGTGCGTTTTCCAGCAGCAAAACTAGTTTATCGCTTTTATCTTTTTTTTTTTCAGTTTCCCCCATGGGTTCAAGGCTGACATTTCCAAATTCATGGTCCAAAGGAATTGTCAAAAACCTTTCAAGCAATATGCAGAAAATCTCATCCCGTGATTCGGCCAGTGTGATATCTAGACCTTCAATATTTTCAAGGGTTTTTATATAGTTTACATTATTATTAATCGCTGACATCAACGACCTCAGAAGACGTCAACGATCCTTGTTCTTTAGCATTTCAAGGATAACCTGGTCCATCGCCTGAGAAACAGTCGTCACATTGGGTGGTAAACATAAAGCTTAGATGTTACTGTTTGTGAGGTTGCCGGCGGCGTCCGTGGCTAAGGCGTTGAGAGTCAGACTCGTAATTCAACGTACTGCGATCGAAACCCACTGCGGGCTGCGGTGATTTTATCGTGGTATGGGACGTCGCAGGTCGACCCAGCCTCAAATGAGTACCAGGATGGCTGTCCTGGGGAAGTAAAGACGGCCAACGTAATGCTGACCACATTACCCACCGAGTGCCGATTGGTCTGTAAAAATATGGGTGCTCTTCCCATATGCCCGATGCGCCTGTAGGCGTGTAAAGGAATCTTTACTTCACTTTACCATAGCTGGATGCAAAGGTGCGTTTGTCAAGAGTGTCGCTTGCGGATATGCACTAAAACACACCAATACTGACTGAGAAAATAGGACGTGTGGCCAGGTCTTGGTAGATCCTCGAGGAAGCTCTACCCCGGGATTCCACGGATAAATCTCAGCCGAGAGCTAGCACATTACTGCGTTCTGCATCCAACAGGATTATTTTAAGCTGTTGGATCACTCAGTGGAAAAGCTGGCAGAATCAAGAAGGAGGGACACTGCCCTGATCTCAAGTATCAGACAGCAGATGAAGAGGTTAAAGTAGCCGTTTAGACTCTCAAGGTCGTACTGTTGACTCGTAGGAATCTGTTTAGAATGTGATATATAATATAGATTCTTATGCTTCAAGACGAGTGTGAGTGCGCTAGCGAGTGATTGGAGTATTTGGGTGAGTCTTATCCACGTAACAATGTATTGCATATTTTCATTCAGATGTTAGTGTTCGTAATACACCAGTGTCACACTTCGTACATGGCCTTCGTCATTTAATTCACGTTTGGACACATTTGAGTTGACTGTTATCGTTACGGATATCATGTTGCGTCACTGGTAATAATCTCTGACTATTTTCCCCACACTTGGCTTGTAGAATGTAATATCTCTTATGCTGCAGTCGTTGACTTGTACCTGACTGCACGTCTCATAGAGGTAGCACAGTTTTCCTTCGCAAATTGGTGTCTTTCCAATTTTGTTTTCTAGTCGGTAGGAATTTATTTTTGGAACCAGGGTTTAAAGATTTATGAATTCATCCATGCTTTCTTTTCATGTATTTATATAAACGTTGCGATTCCTATGTTTTCATTTTTCTAAAGCTCTAGGTTTCTCTGATGTTCATATTAACGTTAACCTAAGTTTGTGGTTGCCGAAGACAAACAGACAGAGAGACAGAGAGACAGAGAGACAGACAGAGAGACAGACAGACAGACAGACAGACAGACAGACAGACAGACAGACAGACAGACAGACAGACAGACAGACAGACAGACAGACAGACAGGCAGGCAGGCAGACAGACAGACAGACAGACAGACAGACAGACAGACAGACAGACAGACAGACAGACAGACAGACAGACAGACAGACAGACGGACGGACGGACGGACGGACGGACAGACAGACGGACGGACGGACGGACGGACGGACGGACGGACAGACAGACAGACAGACAGACAGACAGACAGACAGACGGACGGACGGACGGACAGACGGACGGACGGACGGACGGACGGACGGACGGACGGACGGACGGACGGACGGACAGACAGACAGACAGACAGACAGACAGACAGACAGACAGACAGACAGACAGACAGACAGACAGACAGACAGACAGATAGATAGACAGATAGATAAATAGATAGACAGACGATCGGAGAAACAGACATAAATACAGACAGACAGACAACTAGATAGATAAATATATGTTACTTTACTGTATAACATGGTAAATTAAAAGTAACTTGAGTTACCTTCACAAGGGTTATGTCTGGTTTGGTGAAGTCTGGAAATTGGCTTTGAATGCCCACACCTTTAAGTCCAACACTGGCACTTTTGAAATCATTGATCTGATCAACATACCCCTACAGAAGGAGAGTTTAAATTGCGGTGCAATAGTCATTAACAGTTCTTTGCATTAACCATGAAAATAGACATGAGAAAAATGCTTGCTTGGGAATAGAATTAAGAGGAATATTATATTAATATGGTACCTGCAATAAAAAAGTAAGTTAAAAAGGGGGCGGGGGAGAAGTGGAAAAAAGGGGGGGGGGGTGAGGGGGGCAGCTGGGAAATCAACCACTGAAGAGCTAATTTATTAACACTTTGAAAATGGAACGACCATACACGAAAGAGTGATTAACTGAGGTGCTTGGAAAAAAAAGTTGAGAAAAGAATGGGGGGGGGGGGGTGGGGGGTGGGGGGGGGGGGGGTTAACAATATCTGCACTAATATAAACGTGTTCTCATTATTTAATTCAGCATGTTTAAATTTGAAAAGAAATGAACTCTATTGCCTCAGAAATCAATGTTTACTCGCCTCAGAAAGTTGTCCTCCGAATAATACCTTTATATAGTTGTTTTGCTCTCAGCTTAGAACTTCTTCAGCTTAGATTTTCTTAGCTTGGAAGTTCCGCGCAGTCTGTCTGCCATTTATGTCTTACTGTAAGTTGCGTTTCAGTGCATCTCGATTTTCCTGGGATTCTGGGACTGTCATTGAAACTGTAAATCCAGCTTTTTTTTTTTAAACCCATGTGTGTGTGTGTGTGTGTGTGTGTGTGTGTGTATGTGTGTGTGTGTGTATGTGTGTGTGTGTGTGTGACTGTATGTCTGGGGAATGGGAGGGGGTTGGGGGGGGGGGCGTCTTTGAGCCTGAGGATTTTAGTCTGCATCCCTAAAACAGTTGCCTCGCACTGTACACATACAAATTTGTTTTTTTAATTCCTAACCTTACCGAGGCTTTGAACACAGGTCTCCCTCATGAGACTGCAGGTCTCCCTCATGAGAATACAGGTCTCCCTCATGAGAACACAGGTCTCCCTCATGAGACTGCAGGTCTCCCTCATGAGAATACAGGTCTCCCTCATGAGAACACAGGTCTCCCTCATGAGACTGCAGCGTTCTTTAAGAGTTTGACCAGCTGCTCCTCATTCTGGGACTTTGATCTGTTAAAAGCTTGTGATTTTTTTTTATCGTTGTAACATTAGCTTTTTAAAAAAAATGCTGACGAAGGCTTTCTAGAATGTTGAATTTTCATTCGGTGTATTGTTCTTGTTTAGCCGACCAGCTGTACTTTTCGGTTTTATAATTTTTTTTATCTCTGTCTCTTATTTAAAGTACTGTACAATATTATTACAGTTTTGAGTGTAAATACATTAAAATTCTGCAGAATTAATAAACATTTCATATAAAACTAGACAAACAGAAAAAAAAAAAAAAAGATTTAAATTTAAATAATGCGGACTCAAACAATGCAATGCCGCTATGTGCAGACAGAAAGAATTCGTGGTAAATTTAAATCTGGCAAGGTAACTCAAGTGACTATCTTTATCTTCTGAGACTGACCCTGTGATCTGTTTAATTCTGTAAAGAGAATTTAGTAATTGTGCTCTGTTATATTTTGATGTAACTGTAGTAATGCCCCTGATGCGATACATCGAAATGTGCCATGCTATTCACAGTGTAATGTATTTTTCGTGTCCGCATTATTAAAATTCCCAAGGAGATAACATTGTTTCAAGATAATACAATACCAAATTGTGATTCCCTCCAACAACGACATCAAAATCATTCAGCAGCAACTCAGGAAAGGGATCAGCGATACGAATGGCCTTGAATAATTGTTGTGTAAACTTTGGTTCTCCTGTTCTGTCCTCGTAAAATCTGCCATGCAGTAGTTGGTTATTGACTACCCACTGAGAGACTCTGAGGAATTGATAGAGCACATGATGATAGTTTGTGCAATAATACAACTAGATGAATGGTTTAGAAAATAATTCACAACATAAATAGGTAGTGCGGGAATGATAAACAGATCTGAACTAAAATATAACTTTACAGCCAAATATTACAGTAGATTTACGTTGCATGCTTCCATATCTGTGGACAGTACTAGATGTGTGAGTTAGATTTGTTGAGGAGAGAGAGAGAGAGAGAGAGAGAGAGAGAGAGAGAGAGAGAGAGAGAGAGAGAGAGAGAGAGAGAGAGAGAGACAGACAGACAGACAGACAGACAGACAGACAGACAGATGGAGAGAGACAGAGAGAGAGATGAAGAGAGACAGAGAGACAGACAGACAAAGAGACAAAGCGACAGAGACAGAGAGAGAGAGAGAGAGAGAGAGAGAGAGAGAGAGAGAGAGAGAGAGAGAGAGAGAGAGAAGGAATGGGACAGAAAGAGTCTATAAAAGATCGAAGAAGTAAAGAACAATTCTAAATAAAAGTAATATAAATATGTTGAATGTTGAATGAGGAATCAACACCATAACACTCAGGACACTCCCATAAGCGCTCCGTCCCCATCTTCAGCAGCAAGCGAAAAGTTCCAATCCTGATAGCACCAGTAACTGTCTGATTGTATATCCGTCTCGCACTTTCCCTGAGTGTTGAGCGCCATTTTCATCATTCAGTAATGATCTATCCGATATATTTTTTACTTGTATCTTTTACTTTAATTTGCACTTTAAAAAAAGTGAAAAATATCAGCAAATGTATCGTGTTTCAAAATACAAATTAGATGATTTAAAATATAGCACAATTCAAGTAAATGTTTAATCAGTTATCTTAATTCCCTTACTTTCCTTTGGTGATACCAGTCACGTAGTTAATGCGTTCAGTAACGGCATTCCTCAGTGGTTGAGAATTTAAAGTTGAAACCCAGGTAGGCTGCGCAGTTGTACGAGCTGAGAAAAATGACTCACCACGCACCTTCACACTGAAAATGACACACACAAAAATAGTGAGAATAAAAACAACAATATGTAAACAAAAACACATATTATTTCGGGGGGGGGGGGGGGGGGGGTGTGTTTGAGAATAAACTTTCTTCTTTTGAGTTTGAGATACTGATGGTATTGCCAATAACGTCTTCTTTAGATTAGTCTCTCTGAAAATAATGCTCGTAGGAATGATTGCTTTTATAGAAGCCCTTCCCAGTCTCGGTCCCAATTGTTGGTCTTCAATTCGAAAACCTTGGAACTAACAGAAACTACATAAAAACATACAATATTAGTAACAAATTAATAAACAAGACCGTCTGATCGTCGTCGGCGCAATGCAATGTAACAACAGGTACAGTATAGAAATCACTATATCTGTATAAAATATACTAGTTAAATACGAGAGAAGATAAAGTACTGGTGAACCTCCCCTCGCCTCAGTTTTTTGGGTATGTATGTGTTAGTCATATATAGTATGTTTATTGGTAAATTAACTTGATATGCACGATAAACAAATTAGTTAGTCATATAATTTATCAGCGCATGCACCAGTAGCAGATGGGGACTTTTGCATCTAATGCAAGAAGTTGGGAATATGTGTCAGGTTCTCATCGCTGTGGGGTTGAAATTAGATAACCAGTCAAGCAACAAATGAATGGATGAATGAATGAATGCATGAATGAATGAATGAATGAATCAAGAACTGACATCATTGCTCTCAGGACATTCCCATACGTCCTCGGCCCCTTTTTCGCGTGCAGACCGTGCACTAAAACACACCATTAAGTAAGAAGAAACTCCACAGGGGAGCATGTACAGTAGGAGTCTACCAATCGTCAGTAGAAGGAACCTATCGTCGACAAATGTTTCGGCCCACAAGCTCCTAGACATTTTCAGAGAGTGGGCCCACCTGAGTTCATGAGGCCCAGGGTTGGGTTCTCCTGCTGCACGTATTACCGGATGTTATCGGACAGGGGCAAGACGAATTGGTGACTGTGCAAAAGGTACTGTGAGATAAGAAGTCGTTGCGGTAGCATAATTAAAGCAGTATGCTTACCTGGACGACCAAGTGGCAAGCTTATGTTTGGTTTACCGGACACATGTTGGACTTTGTAGGCAGGTGGAAGATGGATACTGGCAGACAATTCGGACACGATGGACTTTAAGGGATAAGACATTCTTTTCCACTAGACACCCGGAGCAGCTCACCGAGGCCCGTCTCCCACGACGTTCCGTTATGTCCAGAGCCAGCTCGAGGCCCTCTCAGCAATCTCGCCCAGTTGTTTAAGTGATCGTTTGCGTCCATTACCCCGTAAGCCTAGTTGTTTAATCACATTGTAAAGTGAAGTGGAAACGATACCTCTTGCGCCTACCTCGACGGCGAAGATTCTTACTGTGTACGCTTCGTCCCTCCTCAGACCAGCCGCTAAGTCACTGTACTTCTCTAGCTTGTACATATGGATTTCGTCTATTCGCGACTCATACGGCACGGTCAGCTCAATCAGGATGAGCTGACGTTTCTCAGCAGAGTGCAGAACTATGTCTTGTCGCAGGCCAGTCTTCCGGATTAACTCAGGGTACTTTTCATGACCAGGAAGGTCAACCGCCAGTAACCAGTTCCTCGCACAGTCTATCATCGATAGAGAGTATGCGACTTTGTTGAATTGAATTGACCTTTATTGACCAATATTGACTAGGCAAATAAGACGTCATAAGGGTTAAATATGGTTGTTAGGTGATTGAATATAGCGGATTCACAGTCAAGAAGACAAAGGAGGCGGACGTTATTGTTTTTGTGTGGCTCATCTAAAGGAAAGATTTCCCCCAGGATCCCACGCAAAAACAACTTGTAGGTTGGTGGGGGTTGGGGGAGGGGGAGGGGGTGTAATTGCTCAATTTGCATGATGCAGGATTATTAAATACGGATGATGTCACTCAGTGTGACTGCTGGATAATTTTGAAGTAACGACGTAGTCATGTTTATCAGTATTTGGCTGCATACTGACTTGGAGGAACCGGTAATGTTTCAAGATCGATCTGCTGACCTATAGTAATTATTTGGCTAATGTTATACGTGAATCCGGGGTTGAAAATTCGTCCATGCAAGTGTGGGGACGCTAGTGAGTAACGTGTGTTGTTTGGATGAGTCGTTTTGCCACCTATCATTCATTTGCTATATTTCCATTCATCTCTGTTAATTCATCAGTACACCAGTGTCGTAGTAGGAATCCATAGCATTCTCGATTAGATCAACTTTGAGGCTCCTTGAAGCTTTTGGTTTTATTATTGTTGTGTTGCCTAGTTACCCAGTGGCATCCAGTTTCACCTCTGGCTCGAGCCCTCCGCACCGTTCCCTGCTGAAATCATACCTTGAGTTGAGTTGAGTTGATTCAAGAACCGACATCACAGCACTCGGGTCATTCCCATAGGCGCTCCATCCCCATCTTCAACAGCCAGCGAAGAGTTCCTATATTAATGCTGCCATTAGCAATATGATTAAACGTCCGTCTTGCCTTTCCTCTGAGCCTCGAGCATCTGCCAGAGCCTCTCGTCACCGCCCCCACCCCTGCATCAGTCTTAGTAGACTGTAGTGATCCATCTGCTGCTCCGAACTTTACACGTTCTCCCACAAGGCACCAACCACGCCTGCCTTATCATGCATCAGTATTCCACCAAGTTGTGCAGAGCCAGCCAGTCTGTCCGATTGTTCATTTCCCCACACACCGGAATTTCCGGGTGAAAAAATACTCCTCACCCGTGTCCTCCGAAGTGAAGCATGCTACTCTGCTCAAAGCATGCCTGTCCTCAGCTTGCTTTCTGTTTCAGTTACAGTCATGATGTGTGTGTGTGTGTGTGTGTGTGTGTGTGTGTGTGTGTGTGTCGTATTCTTTAACCAGCGGAAAGCTGCAGTGGTCGCCTCAACCTCCATTCCTAAGCTGGTTGTTGTGGTATCATATGCTAGGATCTCCTGCACCAAACGTCGACCATTATTTTTTGCCAAGAAACCCCAAGCACTTCATACCTTAACAGTGTAGACCCCTAGACTTGGTTTTTGCATGGTAATATTGATGTTCAAGTTACTTTCACTTGTTGCCTTTGGTTATAAAGTTGTACGATTGGTCATTTCGGTTGCACTCATACACTCGCCCTTCATCAAAATGAGTGCAGTCTATCTAGTCTTAGTCTTAGTCTAGCCATTGCATCATTGTCAGCAAGCCACACAATCCTCAGTTGTCAGCCAAGCAATAAATATGAGATTCACTATCATACCCATGTTTAAGAAGCTCATCTGTGGCGGCAGCAGCCCTGGAAAAGTCTGGGTTACTCTGGGGAAAACAATGGTAGCAAAGAAATAAGCGTAGTCAGTATACATTATTCAAATACACATGTACATAAAATTGTTTCACTGCACAGTACTTTGCAGGAAATGCTAACGCATTCAGAACCAAAATTTTCTTTCTTCAGACTAATACAGTGGGAGTTCGGCATGACTTTGACTATTTCGCGTGCCAACTGGACAATACAAATACGAGTCTAGTATCAGATACCTAATGAGCCAGCGTGTGAAAAAGTCTGTCTACTTTCACTTTCACTCACAAAGGAAGTTACTAGAAAAAACTTTTGAATTTAAAGGCTATAGCCTCAGATTTGAAGAGCTGAGTTATAGAAATAGTGGTAACATTTTAGATTAGAGTGTTGAAGAACCAAAAATAGAATAACACATAGAATAGTGCAAACCAAGGCAAAGGCAGGCCATATTGAATGATACGCACGAGGACTGATTTAGACCAGAGTTTCTGTATGACAAAGTGCAATCTAGAAACATCAAATACATAAATAAATAAATAACAAATAAATAGAAAACATATTCATGTTAATTCGGTTTATCAAAGTTGGTTCCGTAATCTAGTCTGTTGCACGTGTCACTGTAATAATTCTTTCACATGTTCTTACGATGCAAAGTGGGATATGAATGGTACATCTATTGATTATGTATAGTACATGTTATTTTTATGGTAAAACAATGCCAAGGACTGTGTTGGAAAAGGACGGGGAAAGGGGAAAGGGGAAGGGGCGGGGGGGGGGGGGAGGGGGTTGGGATAAGAAAAGGAATGGGAATAAATTGGGGGGAAAATACAAATAGGTTGAGAGGCAAGTAAAAACATTCTAAATAAGTGTGATGACAACAACAGTCCTGAAATACCATGTTCTTATTCTGGTTGACTTTTCCTAACGCGCACGGGTCTTGCTAACCCCATTCGCCATTGCTACGGGGTGTGATTCTCATGTATTCCCACATCACAATGTTTCACCATCTTCAAGAGTGACGGAAAAGTACCAACAAATTGTAACATACTCCACCGTTTATTAAAAATATCAGTTTGTCACACGTGTTACCGGTTTTTTTTTTTATATTTTTTTTTTAAAAATTTCATCGCAGGTGACTCAAAGAGCTCTTTTTCGAATACCTTACAGGAACACATTCCCCGATATCCTGGTTAACAGTAAAACAGTTACATATTGGTACCCAAAAGTAAAGCTAATGTTATTGAATTTGTATACAATTCCTACTGTCTCGGTGAATTATTTTGTCAGGCTAAGAGGCGAGTGCATGTCCAGCTTAGTAGAAAAAGAGCTGTACTATTGTCGCAAGATACGAAATGAGAATCCTATGTCGATAGAGACTGTGTTTACATTTGAAGTAACAAGATATTATAAATTTGCAGTTTCTGTGTAGCTGTTGCTCAAATTATATATATTTTAGAGTTGCAAATGGTTTTTAGATATTATAGATTTGTCCAGCTTGTGTGAAGTAATTTCTTACCGCAGTGCCTTGATCGCGGACCCAATCATAGTCGGCTACTGTTACCGAGTTGAACAAGTTGTACAAAATGTCCCGATACTGTTGATAATCCGTGTTGGCAATGAAGTCGCTTCGAGCCGCAGTCCCAAAGCCGAACAGATGTCGAGTATGGTCTACCTGAAAGATTACCGATCTAATCAAAATATGACTGTCTGCTACACATGTTATTGCTTTCAGTTTTAGGTTCTGTGTTATTATGTTCCAATTTTAGTATCGATTGCACTTGTCATATTTGTCATTGTCATGCTGAGTTATTTTAAAACTTTGTCCAAGTGTTTTTAAAAACTTAAAGTGCTTACCTGAATATTTTAGAGCTGCAAATAAGAACTTTTGATGTTATCAGACAATCCTCATTAGTATAACACCAAATTAAATATGATACTCTTTACTACTGTTCCAGTCCTTAGTAAACACTCACTCACTCACTCTCTCACACACTCACTCACTCAATCACTCACTCACTCACTCACTCACTCACTCACTCACTCACTCACTCACTCACTCACTCACTCACTCACTCACTCACTCACTCACTCACTCACTCACTCACTCACTCACTCACTCACTCACTCACTCACTCACTCACTCTCTCACTCACTCTCTCACTTACTCTCTCACTGACTGACTGACTGACTGACTGACTGACTGACTGACTGACTGACCGACTGACTGACTGACTGACTGACTGACTCACTCTCTCACTCACTCACTCACTCACTCACTCACTCACTCACTCACTCACTCACTCACTCACTCACTCACTCACTCACTCACTCACTCACTCACTCACTCACTCACTCACTCACTCACTCACTCACTCACTCACTCACTCACTCACTCACTCACTCACTCACTCACTCACTCACTCACTCACTCACTCACTCACTCACTCACTCACTCACTCACTCACTCACTCACTCACTCTCTCACTCTCTCACTTACTCACTCTCTCACTCACTCTCTGACTGACTGACTGACTGACTGACTGACTGACTGACTGACTCAAATCCCCACGACTACCTCAAATGTTATAACCCAAATGTCTACTACTAATGTTACACACACATATACATAAGTCTACTATCATTGTCACGCCCAAGCGTCTACAACCGATGTTACAACTAAAATTTCTACTATCAGTGTTACACACACAGACGTCAACTACAAGTGTTACACTATATAACTTCTATTATCCATGTTACATCTCAAAAGTCTACTACCAGTGTTACAAACCTAAGCATATACTACCAAAGTGACACACCTAAGAGTCTGCTACCAATGTTACACATCTAAGCTTCTACTACCAATTTGTCAAACGTCTACTAACAATGTTACCTACTCAAACGTCTACTAACAATGTTACCCACTCAAATGTCTGCTAACAATGTTACTATCTCAGATATTTACTACTAATATAACAGCTTAAATATTTATTACCAAAAATAAACAATCTTACGTGAACAACATAGTCCGCGGCAGCGGTGTTTGGTGGGATACTGATCCTGTGGAAAGAGAAAAACATTTACTAGAGTGTGCGTGTGCGTGACTGTGTGTATGTGCGTGATTTTATGTTTATAATTGTATGTGTATTAGTTAGTTAGTTAGTCTTTCCTCTTGTGTCGAGTGCGGCACATAGGGCAGAGGTCGCGACTCTCCATGCACGGCGGTCCGTTGCAATCCGTTGTAGGTCTTGGATGTTTGAGTGGCCCATGAGCGAGCCTTCCCTGATGATAGTTCTACGTAGGGTTTCCCTTGGTCTTCCACGAGATCTTTTCCCCTGTGGTGTCCAAATGAGGGCTTGGTAAGGAAGTCTTGATTTATCCATTCTAAGGGCGTGGCCGACATAGTTCCAGCGGCGTTTTCGTTTAAAATTAGACACATACTCTTGCCTGGATTCTTGCCTTATTTGTGTATTGGTTCGGAAATCTGACCATTTGAAATTTAGTATTCTTCTAAGGCATTTATTTTCAAAACTGTCTAATTTTGTGTCTAGAGTTTTCGTTGATTTCCAGCTCTCGCATCCATAGGTTAGTACTGGAATCACACAAGAATTGAAGATCTTGAGTTTTGTGTGTTTGCTAAGTGTCTTTGATTTCCAGATGTTAGACAGTTTATTGAAGGCACTAGATGCCAGTGCTATTCTAAATGATATTTCTGTGAAACTGTTGACTTTTTCAAGGCTGTTGTTGTTCAGCGTGATATCAACTGAACTGTTGGTAAGGTCTAGAATTTTTGTTTTTGCGGTGTTAATTTGGAGTCCAATTTGTTCTGAGAAATTCTGGAGTCGATTGATTTTTTCTTGGGCGTCTGTGTGTTCTGAACTCAGGAGTGCTATGTCGTCGGCGAAGTCTAGGTCTTCCAGAATTTTGTCAACCCATGTAATGCCTAAATTTGCGTTATTTATGCACTTGCGCATGACCCAGTCGATTGCTATACCAAAAAGCATCGGCGATAGGACACAGCCTTGCTTCACTCCTGTTTCCACCGGGAACCAGTCAGAATTACTGGAATCAGTTCTTACACAGCATCGTGTTTCATTATAAAAAGATTTTATGATGTTGATATATTTGATGGGGAAACCATAGATGTTAAGCAATTTCCAGAGTGTTGGACGATGGATACTGTCGAAGGCTTTTTGAAAGTCGACAAAGTTGATCAATAATTTCGACTGGAATTCTATAGAATCTTCAACAATTATTCTATGAGTAAAGATGTGGTCTATGCATGACCGCTTGGATCTAAAACCGGCTTGTTCTTCCCTTAATCTTTCATCTATGGATTTTTTCAATCTTTCTAGTAGCATACTACAAAATAGTTTCCCTGATATCGAAAGCAGGGTGATGCCTCTCCAGTAGTTACAATCGGATAAATCACCTTTTTTAGGTAATTTGAAGATTACACCATCTTTCCATTGTTGTGGTGGGTATTCGTTTTGCCAGACTTCATCCATCAGCTGGAGCAAATGTTGCAGGGTGTTTTCATCCGCTGCTTTGAGCATTTCCCCTGAGATGTTGTCCTCTCCGGTAGCTTTGTTTATTCTTAATTTTTTAATAGCTGTTTTAATCTCCTCTATTGTGAATGACTCGCTGTATGTGTATGGTTTTGTGGATATAGTCCCAATAAATATCAAGGCGGGAAAACAGGTCTTCTGTTTAACCTAATTCAGTGTCACCTATCTGTGAGATGAATACCTTCTTTTCTTTAAAATTGTACTCAGGCTGCAGCTTGACATTATATACTTGGAGATTTCCAATTGCGATGTAAAACAAATAACGCCACTTTTCAGGCATCAAAATATTATCATGTACAAAAAAGGCAGCTGACAGATGAGCTTTTCGTATCAGTGTCAGACACGGACAGTCCTTAAAAAAAAACAACAACGCGAAATTACAATATGGGAGCTGAGGTGTGTAAAAAATGTGCCAGAATAAACAAGAAGAGACAGCCATGACTGAAGAACTAAGAATGATTGTAAGCGCAGTGCAGGTAAATGATTTCCTAGAAAAGTCAAAAACTCTCAAAGTGTTCGTTCATCTGTTCAGAATGGAATAACATCAGTAAGCAACTAGAGCGTAGTGCATGAGAGGACAGAAAAATAAACTCACTGTGTAACTCGGAATGAAGCGTCGGTCAAACGAGATTACTTTCGACCAAGTCCGAAGTTAAAGTTGTTTGTGGGAATCTTTTCTACTGTGAGGAACGTTTCCTTTCTTAGTTTTGTGATCTGGGTTACGTCGTGTGCCGTTGAGGTGATGTGTCATTTGTACAGTCACACACCAGCGTCACATTTTGTGCTATTACGATGAGACGATTGTCGCTGGACAGCGAGGTCAAAATGTATGTAAATCCCCTTGTTCTGCACCTACAGGTGACAAGGATTGTATAGCTGGAAGTCAGTTGTTTCTTTGCACTAAGTGGCTCGTGCGTCTTTAGATAGCAGCTCTTCGTGTGGTTTCATGGGCGCCATTTGGGGGTGGTGGTGGGGGGGGGGGGGGACAAAAATAGTCCCAATGCCCTCCTATCATGCATGTCGTAGGTGTCGACTGACTGGGGACTTTCTTCGAAGACGAAATGCGTCTGTCCGAATGGCAAGAAACCGCCAACTGCTCACAAATAAGCAAGTAAAACAGATAGTATGGATGTGTATGTGACGGCTGCAGCTGTGTTTGGTCATTCCTTGTTTGAAGATGTGCGGCTCGTGTGCGAGGAATTTTAAAATACCTAAAGTACTAGACAGTTGGCTTGATGTATCTGGCGGAGTTCGCATTACCGCTGAGTGGCCCAATGATGCCCTCCCCCTCCCCCACCCCTAGAAACGTCTCCTATCTCAGCGTGGAATCGACCCCTGCAGCCTTACAACGGTCAGCTTACTGATTTATCTTCTGATAATTTCAGCTTTTCTTCTCTTGTAATAATAATAATGTAATGATCCCTTTTCACGCATTTCGGCGCACCGGGCATATGGGCAGAGCGTCCCATATTTTTACAGACCATCAGCACTCTTTGGGTAATGTGGTCAGCATTACGCCGGCTGTCTTTACTTTCCCAGGACAGCCCATCCTGGTACCCATTTTAGGCTGGGTCGACCTGCGACGTCCCATACCACGATAAAAATCCACGCAGCCTGCAGTGGGTTTCGATCGCGGTATGCTGGCTTACGAGTCGGACTGGCAACGCCTAAGCCACGGACGCCACTTTTCTTCTCTTAGGTTACATTAAGTATGTGTTGATGTGATTTGTACTTTGTGTAATCACTAGGAGAAAACAAACATCAGGAAAATCTTACGTGAAGCGAATATTGTTTTTTCTGTGAGCCTCAATGCGCGCATTAGCGTCAGCTTCCCATGTTGTGTATTCGGGTATTTCCACAAGATATGCGTCATCAAAGTAGTAGGAAACGCCAGCAGCCGGACCTTCCACACTCAGGGTAGCGCTTACGTATCCTAAATTTGTGAAAAATAAAATCAGTAAAGCATTGGTAGAAACAACAATGATCAACCAATAGAATATCAAAACCTCACAGGGGACTTACTTGTTTAGCACCTTGCGCTCCCTTTCCACACACACACACACACACACACACACACACACACACACACACACACTCAGACACACACATTGAGAGAGACACACCCACCCAGTGTTCAGTGTGGTTAGCACCCCATTATTCATCTCTCTACCAAAAATTTCTCAAGGAGCAAAAGCCCCATACAGTCGTATATAGACGTTCTTGTTTTATGTTTACGTTTATAAGTTTCAAATTAGTTAAAATACTCGTAAATTATATTTCTTTGCCATTCTACTAATAATCAGCATTATTATTACTACTAAGCACTTATACAAGATTTAGGTTGATTGAATCCCCATTACATTTGTTAACGAAGGCTAAACCCCATCCTGTATCAGTTCTTTCTTTGTACCCGGACTCCAGGTAATGTTATGTTTACTGCCCGCACAGTTCCCTTGGAATGTTTATTTGTATTCCAACGTCTGCCAGTTCGGTTTAATTACGTTCGGTTTAGTTGGGTTCGATTTCGTTCGGGCCGGTTTAAACTTTTTTCAGACTCACTAGACTTTTAAATTGTCCTATAGCACAAAGTTCTGACATTCGCTTTATGGTGATTAGAACTGTATATTCGTACATACACCAGGCAACCAGTGTCAAACTTGGACAATACATTATCATATTTCATGTATATCATATTTGGACATCAGTCTCGAAAGAAATGAAGATTGTACGAGTCAGAGGTGCTACTGTGTGCAGCATTTGTGTTACCGGTTTGAAAAATGGACATTTTCTTGTCGGTGTTGAAACGACAAGTTATGCTAATGCAGAGTTTTTCTAATGTTATCTTTCCATCTTGTTCTTGGTCTAGACTTTGCCCTACGTCCCTTTTCTCTGTTAGAGTATGCCTTTTATGATACGGTGTCGCAGGGCATTCTCTCTAAGTGGATAACCGATGTATCTGCTGCTTTTAAATGTATTTTAGAAATAATTCTGTGCCAAAAATTTCCTTTAATGACTTCATTTATGATTTTTTTAAAAATCTATTGTGGAAGTGACTAGTATTATTGTAAATATTGATAAACATAAAAACAGTTAGTTGAGTAACATGGACAAAAAAAGTGTTTACATAATTATCTGAAGCAATAATTAGGGAGGATAGCTAGACATATAAATTTACTTACGATTGTTTGGGTACAAGAAAGTTCCGCCAAGGTGCACCCATCCATCACGTGGACTCACCCGTATACGCGTGGCCAGCTCCAAAACGCTAGTTGTTCCTAAAAGATAAAAAGTTGGACATTTGGTTTCAACTACCGGGTGAGTTAATGCCCACGTGAAGCAGAAGTTCAGCTTTCCTAGACGGAGTTACAGAGCTCAACGTCTGTGATGAAACCAGTGGAGGTACACTGCTGGATTAGATGACTTAAGCATGCGTATGAATTCCCATTGCGCGATGACATCGATTATGATAACAACAAATGCCCTAAGGTCTAGATGCTAACTGTTTCCATATCAAACTTATTATACACTATTGTTCTCTTCCTGGCATACGCGTCCTTGTCGGACCCACTCCTAATTCTTCGTTCGCACATTCTTACACATGTTATGTCACCTAATCCCGTGTCTTCTATCAACATTCGTTCACAAATGGTCTTTATTATAATGTCTCCTTTGTCCAGTACGCTACTTGTTCTTATGAGAATAAATACTTTGACATTTGGTTTTAACTACTGGGAGAGTTAATGCCGTCATGAAGCAGAAGCTTAGATTTTGGAGTTCAACGTCTGTGATGCAGTCAGTAGAGGTAAAACTATGATGACTGCTGGATCAGATCACTGAGCATACGTATGGATTTCCATTGTGCGATGACATCGATTATAATAACAAAGAAAAAGAATAAAAGGTTACAATGAGTACAGACGAAGACAGAAAACAAGAAGTTAGGCAGAACATGCATGTCCTTCTTCTGCGTTCGATATCAGTCATGCTAAACATTGAGTCCCGTCTGGGTCACAAATAGAATTGTGCGTTTAAGGTCGCCACCGGTCCCCCATAGCTTCTCTTGCAATGTGGCTCTTTTGGGCCAGATCCACAGTCTTTGCTAGGAGAGGTAAGGGCAGTACTGCAGTATGTGTTCAGGGGTTTGTCTTTCTGCTCCACAATCACAGGCAGCAGATTCTTTTATGCCTATCCTGTACAAGTGTGCTCGAAGACCACAGTGTCCAGTCCGAAGTCTAAGAATTGATGTTTGTTCTTTCCTGTTGAGTTTGTTTATGCTGTCACTCTCTGGTCTGTAATCTCCATTCTGCCTTCTCCACTCCCGCTTGAAAGACTGCTTTAGCGCTGTTTTGGTTTCCTTGTAGCTGTGTGGTGGATGAGGTTGTGGAAGATTACTCCCAGCTTTTGCCAACTCATCTGCTCTCTCATTTCCTTGAATACCACAGTGGGCTGGTATCCACTGCAAGACCAGTTCTGCTTCCTTGGAGAGTAAGCCAATGTTGGTCCTTAGATCAGCAATTATTTTGTCTTGTTTTTTGCTGGATAGTGCTTGGAGAACAAGACAATGAGTCGCTAAGTATAACAATTTGGTGCCCTCTGTGTTCTTGAGTGATGAGATGTTGGACTGCAGAGAGGAGAGCAGTTGCCTCAGCTCTGAAGTTAGTGCAGATGTCACCTGCTGGTAGAGAGAGAGTTTCTGCTCTACTGCTAGGGGGTTTAATGTAAATTCCACAACCCCCCTTTCTGACTGCATCTGTAGCAGAGCCGTCGGTGAAAACCTGAGTCCAAGTGGTGTTTGGATACTTCTCATCAAGCATAGCAAGAGCCAGGGTTCTCTGTAGTGTCTCCGTCTTGGGCATCTTTTGAAGTGATTCCTGGTACCTTTAGGACTACATTTGCTTTCTCTGGCTTGCTTGTCATGGTTCTGGCCTAAGTTTTTCGCACAGTGCAACATCTCTTTCAAGCAGATCTTAGTGCTGTCTGTACAGTTCTCTAGCAAGGTGGTTGGGGCTCTGACGCTTCAGTCTGTTTTTTTGTTTTCTCTTGAAATTTAAAATGCAGTGGGTGACTTTGAAGTCTTAATTTCTCATACTGTAGAGTTTTGTATTGTCTTCTGAGTTCGAGTGGTTCAGTATCTGCTATCCTATCTATCTCTCTGATGGGGGTGGTTTTCATGGCTCCGAGAACAATCCTTAATCCCATATTCTGAACCTTGTCCAGTTTTCCCATTGTTGTCTTGGCTGCTGCAGCCCATGCAGTGGAGGCATATTCCATGACTGGCCTGACTGCTCCAGTATATACTTGTTTTAGGATTCTAGAGTTAGCGCCCCATGTGGTACCCGCTAATTTTTTCATAACTGCAAGCTTCTTGAATGCTTTTCCCTGTACTGCTTCTACATGTGACTTCCAAGTTAGTCGCGAATCAAGTGTAACGCCCAGAAAGGTAGGAGTGTCCGTCTGTGGAATGAGCTGGTTTTAAATCCAAATTTCGATTTTTTCTTTTTTGGGGGAGAGAGAGAAAAGTGATGCTGTGCTTTTTTATTTATTTAGTTTTAGACCCCACTTTTCGGTCCAGGCTTCTACATTTTCCACAGTTTTTTGTAACAGATATGAGGCTGTGGTAGTGTATTCGGAGGCTGTCCAAACTGCAAAGTCATCGGCATGTAGGGTATTAAAAACGTGCTGGTGGCAGGTTGCTGTGATATCATTAATGTAAACCAGGAACAGAGTTGGTGATATAGCACTGCCCTGGGGAACTCCTTCTCTAAGTTTTGCCAGTTTGCGAATGTGTCCATCAATTCTGAATCTGGCTCTGCGTTGGAAAAGAAAGTCTTTGATCCACTTATACATGTTGTGCACAACTCCTGCCTGTAGCAGTTTTAGTTGTAGGCCTTCTTTCCAAACTGTATCAAAAGCACGAGAGAGGTCAAAAAAGACAGCAAGAACTTTCTTTTTTTCCTGGAAGGCATCATGCATGTCCATCAAAGAAGATTGTTTTAGTGATTGTTTTTAAACTGGCAGAATTGAAAAGCTCCAATAATTCAGAGGAAATTATTGTCCTTTGCAATCACTAGTCATTTGTACATCTTGGAGGAAACCATCTTGCATAAATAAACCTTAAAAAATCCTACAGTATTTGCACAACCATTGCTGACTGACAGTGTAATTGTTGAGTAGTGATTTATCTGTCAGTAAGAATTATAACCTCAGCATCTTTCAAAATTAATGCGTTAGTGACTGGCAGGCCGATTTAAAAACAAGTTGCGTACCTTCTACAACAGCTGTTCTCAATATGTGGGTTGCGAATCTTTTTTTTTTTTTAGGGGGGGGGGGGCATGGTTAAGAGAGAGAAAAAGAGAGAGGGGGGGAGGTGGGGAAGAGAGAAAAAAGAGAGAGAGAAGAGAGGGGGGGGGGGTTGTCTAACGACACTTTCACAGGGGTCGCCTAAGACCACCGGGAAACAAATATTCATTGAAGTTAAGAAGGAGTAACGAAAATAATTGTATGTTTATGTGTCGCCACAACATGTAGAACTGTATTAAAGAGTCGCGACGTTAGGAAGGTTGTTGAGAACCAACTCCAGCATTTTTTGGCTGATGTGGTTTTTCTAGGCAAACTGTTCAGTTTTTTGCCAATGTTTACTAAACGGTCAGCTCTCGGTACCACAATCAATACCAACGCAAGCTGGGATCGAACCCGGCATCTCGCGATTACAAAGCGCGTTCGCAAAGCCTAAAGCCACAGGCGCCGACAGGCATATAAAGCAGTTCCGTAACCCCACTTCCTTGGGAAAGGGGGTGGGCGCTCAGTTCCTTAGTATATTTTTGGTTGGGGAGGAGGGTGGAAAAAAGGTGGGGGGGGGGGATGTTTTCCATGTACTGAGTAGAGATTCGCGAGCTTATTTATAGCGCTGACTCTACACGATACACCGAGGATTTCTATAATGGATATCATCTTTATCTTTGGTTTAAGTCAGCTTTATGCGTCTTAGGAAATATTTCAAGCCTAGTCAACCTCTGTCCTCCCCATTGAGCTTTTTCCCAGTTGGTCTATGTAAAACGTCTCTCACGTTCTTCTGTCAGTCCCTATGTGATAGATGAAGGTTAGCTTTCTCAGACAAAGGTATGAGTTTGCAAGTTCTACGTAAACGCTGAGTAAACAACAAAGCCTGTGGTAGTTGAAGGCATCTCTGTCGCCTTGACAAAATGCAGAGGATGTATGGTAAATGTGGATTCCTGTGTACATGTTAGAACCCTCTTTGCCAGCAAAAGGACGTTTGTGCACTGAGCTGAGTTAACGTTAGTGCTTTGAAGAAGAAAGTTCCTCTACGCCTCTCTTTCTCGTGTAATGATAGTTACGATTCCTACCGTAGGAGCATGGTTCTACCCAAAATCACATTATCTGAACAAGAGGTTAAACTTTCCTAAACCATCAATCTGCTTGCACAGGGGCCATCAGAATAATGTCAGGGATAAAGGAATACATCTTTAACTATGTACAAAGTTATGAGGTACTTGGGTACCTTGATAACAGCAGATGGAAGACGTATTATAGAAGTTTAATCCAGCATAGATAAAACAAAAGCAGAATGTTACCAAATTAAGAATATTCTTTGCTATTTAAATCCTATCCTGATACACAGAAGTGTATCATGGACAGTAAAACGATTAATGAGCAATTGTTTGGAAGTGACGGAGATGTAGTTTTTCAAACGAATGATATGAATATCCTAGACCGATAAAAAGAGTAATGAAGATGTCTTGAAAGAAACTGACGAAGAGAACGGGTTGCCAATGTCAGACGGAGACAATCTACATTCTTTTGTCATGTAATGAGAACGGAAAAACTAGAGTATATCGTGATGGTGGGAAAGCTGGAGGGGAAAAGAGGCAGAGCGAGACCAAAAGTAAAGACTCTGAACAGTCAGACGCCGTGGCATGGAAGATCACCACTGTCTGAATCGATTGAAAGTACTCGAGACAAAAGTTTATGCAGGGACATGACTACCAACGCTACACGACACACACTATAAGAAGAAGAAGTGCAAGAGATGATACATTACGGCTTCTTACCATTGGAGAAACTGGACGTGATCCTCACATAGACGGGCTGATCTGGTCTTTCCGGAGAATCATCGACGAGCTGGATGTATGCGCTAAATTCATATCTGCTCCCACCAGTGAGAACGATATCTTGTGTTGGGCCTTGCCAGTTCTGGGTTCTGTAATTTGGAATGCAAATCAGCTTATTATATTCTGCTAAAAGATATTATTCAAGCAGAGGAAACAAACATATATTCTTCAGGATCTGAATATCAATAGGCATACGGTCATACATGGTGTCGTTTCTTGGAAAGTAAAATTCTTCCGCCATGTGATTCACCTAAATGGCTTGGAGAGAATACAAATGTGTTTATAGTCAATGGAGGAAGTCAGAGATGATGACGGATGGATTGCTACGGCAGGGCACGAGATGATGACTCAAGCCTTACAACATTTACGGCGGAGATACACCAACTTCGCCAATGTTAATCTACTTCAGGTAATAAGCCTCCAGCCCGCCATTTTGACAGGATCCCATACTTCTTATATAGGTTGTAGTCGGCCATATTGTTTAGCGGAACCTGCCATCGTGGTTGGGGAAGCTGTACATCTTAGGAGAGCTGGAATATTTTATTATGTACAAGTGGTACCACTAGAGGGGCCCCATTTGACCTATCTTCAAATATATAAAATCATACGCTCCCCTGACCCCCAAAACCCTTACTTAACAAGCCAAATCGACGCCAGTTTGGATAATGACTCACTTCACAAGCTGATACCCCTCCTAGAGAGCAACATCCATTTTAACCTCTTAATGCTATAGCACCAGCCTCAAATAATAGCTAAATCTAAAACTATATACTACTGATAACAGTTGTTTGTGTAATAAATGTCTGGGGCAGAAACTTGTAAAGAAATAAACACACATTTACCTGTCTGTGGACAAAGCGGAAGCTGCTCCTTCATGGGCAATGCTGGTGTCCGTCTGTAAAGTGAAGCCTTCACCTTTCCATCCCGTCACGCCATTCTCAAAGCTGGGATTCGTCAGCAGATCCTGACCGCTACAAAGGGCACTAATAAACAGCACACACCAAAACGAACCGTCTATTAGATGCCACATCTTGTTCACGTATGGCTTCTCACTTTACAGCCCAAGAGCGAAAGTCACAGCCAAAGTCACTTAATAAACGTGACTTGCCTGGGAGATTACTAAGAACTTAAAAAAAAAAAATAAATAAAGGACAATACAATTTAACATGCATCTGTTGTTTTCTCACACAGTAATTATTTTAGTCATCTTATACTAAATTGACCTGATTAAGTAGACAGGACATATTTATTAAAGCTTTGATAATGCTTTAAAAAAAAACAAAAAAAAAACTACCTAATCGACATAACGTGCTGGATACTAAAACATCCATGACAGAGAATATAGGTCATCAATTGGTCAAAGCTTTATTGGTTTATTTTAAGCGTCTGCTTCTAACTCATGTAGACAAAGCATTAATCAAACTGATGATTTTATATAGAATCAGAGGTGAAAGAAATAACGAATTAATGAATTTATTAGTACCTTTGAACTCCCTTTTCCTAAGTATCCAGGGCTGGGTCTGAATACCGAGTGTTCCGGTAAAAGCCGACTGAAAGTACGCCCATATTTTTCTTGGAGCTTTTAGACCATCTGTTGGCTTTCAGCTAAAGTTGTTTTCCCAGGCATGGGTACCCTGTATCTAATATTCCTAGCAGCCTTTTACTGTGGCATGCCATAGTTGGCGACTTATCTTGTGATGAGGATAATGATTATCATGATGATTTGTGGGAGTTCTTTAAGTAAACAAAAAAAAAAAAAAAAAAAAAGAAAATCGAGGTTTACCTCCTAAATTTGTGTCAGTTTTGTTCGGTTCACAAATTTAAATAAAGAATGTCTTTAAATGTCTATTATACAACTTTTGTAGCACGTGTAGGACAGGTGTGTTTTAAGTCTGGAAATTTCAGGACATATGGATAGTGTTGTCATCATAGACTGTGCAGGTTAGGATGTTTTACAGTTGTTGCGTGTCCCGGATAGAAAAAATATTCAAACATACAAACATGTCTGTCACTAATAAACATAAATGGAATATTTGAGTGTAATGAGGACAGCGACGTGAGTCACGAACAAAATGCTGACCAGATGGAACCCATGTGAATTACAGAGAAAATGCTGGCCAAATGAAACTTATGCGAATCGGAAAACATGGAAAAGTCATAAACCTAATGTGGGCGTTAGAAGGTTATATAATGCCTTAGAAAGAGCGTGTTGGTTTGGCAGTCTCGTTTGGGCCAAGAAACGGAGTGCGTGAAGAACGAAGGAATGTTTGCGGATCTAGAATGTGTCTGAAGATGAATGTAGCTTCAAACGCCCTACATGACCAAACAGCAACGATGGACGGTTTCTCGTCTGCCCCCTGAGATTGTGTTTTGTGTCGTCAACACGGAGGAAGTTTGCGTGCTTCATTGTGATTGATGAAATGTGCGATTGTGGTTCGATGAGTGCAGGTAATATTTTGTTTCCATAATTGTTTGAATCAGCCTAAACATTTCTTTCATGTACCTGCTGAGATAACAACGAGTGGAAGAATAAAAAGAACTACACTCTCTTGCAATCTTTGTTTTCGTCCGTTTTCTACTCGTCGTGTTGATGTCATGGGGTGAAACAGGAGTCTGCAGTGACTAGAGCCAAAGACATTAGGAACAGAGTCATTGCACCAAAAATATACTTCATAGTTCTAACTGATCTTAACCAGGACGGCAAACCAACAGGGCAAATCCAAGATATCTTGTTTAACCTATAAAAAGGTTATAGTTAGGGCACTTGTAACAGCAACGCTAGCTTTGGGTAACCTACAGTCCTGTGTGGGTATAGATGACTTTCGTGATATCAAATGACGCTGTAGTTTGGAAGAATAGTAATGGAAGGCACTTGGGAGAAAAGTTAGGGACCCACCAACACAACAGATGATACGGAGAAGGCACACTCCTCAGAAACATGAAATAGGCGATGGAACTTGTCAAGGATAAAGAATCTTTCCAGCGGGTTCCACGCCACCGCAAATATAATAACGATGGTTATGATAATAGTAACGATGATGATAGAAATATGTTTACTACCACATTCTGTCTATATACACAACCATACCCCGTGTATAGTTGCGTGTGCAACATTTTTACTAGTTACAATCTTATCTCGTCGCACGCGTCGAGTGCTTATTTCGTGCAGAATAAGTGCATAGGCACTTAAAAATCATAAAGTTCCGAAAATCAGTGAGTCGGCAAAAACCAACAGTTACAACAGCCAAAGGCGAAAAACGTCCTATTGGGAGATACGGATGTTTTGAAACTCCACTCCCCATTCCTAAAATCATCGAAATGTTCGATCTTTCCTTCCTTCTTTCTTTCTTTCTTTCTTTCTTTCTTTCTTTCTTTCTTTCTTTCTTTCTTTCTTTCTTTCTTTCTTTCTTTCTTTCTTTCTTTCTTTCTTTCTTTCTTTCTTTCTTTCTTTCTTTCTTTCTTTCTTTCTTTCTTTCTTTCTTTCTTTCTTTCTTTCTTCTTTCTTTCTTTCTTTCTTTCTTTCTTTCTTTCTTTCTTTCTTTCTTTCTTTCTTTCTTTCTTTTCTTTCTTCTTTCTTTCTTTCTTTCTTTCTTTCTTTCTTTCTTTCTTTCTTTCTTTCTTTCTTTCTTTCTTTCTTTCTTTCTTTCTTTCTTTCTTTCTTTCTTTCTTTCTTTCTTTCTTTCTTTCTTTCTTTCTTTCTTTCCTGCTCACAAAAAGAAAAGGTAAACGTAAGTAGTAAATGCTTATAGTTATTTGTAAAGTGTCCCTAGTTTTTAACTTTATGTTAGCAGAAAATGTAGAGCAGCTTTTTTTCTGCCTTTAAAAAAATATATTTTAATATGCCTGCTTGTCGCATTTTTTTCTTCCTGTGCTGAAGACATAAAGGAAATACTCCTATTGAGTAAGATTCTCCCTTTAAGTTTACACCCCCCTCCCTCCCCCCCTTTCTTTAAAAAAAAAGATTTTACCTCAGACTAAATCGTGTAAAGACTTTTTGTGTGTGCTTATGATAGGCTTCATTTTTATCACTACAGCTTTCTACAGTATAATGCTCTCAGTTTATTGATATATGCATTGTTGTCTCTAGTACGTACTTCATTGTCTTTTTGTAATTCACTAAGTGACCTGAACAGCTCGACTTCAATCGGTGTCTCTCTTGGCCAACGGTTTTTCCTTGATATGTTGTTTTTGGGACAGTCTTGGAGGACTTGATCTGTTGTCTTATATGCCAATCCACATGTGAATATGATTGATTCGCCAATCTTAAATTGTGTGCACATGTGGCTGCGAAATCGACCGTGTCCTGTTCTAGTCGTAGAATAATGACTTGCTCTAGTAAGTCTCTCTATAATATGGTTTTGGTGGGTTTCGGATTGATTTGATTATTCTCTTCTTCTGTTGATAAGAGACTGTTATGTTAGGTTGTTCTTCGTTTGCAGCTCTTTCATTTTGTATGGTCGAAGAAAACATAAGTACAAAACAGTCTTTTACTTCTATAGCTCTTTCTGACAATGTCCTCAGGCACTATATGGAAATGTTTGTAACTTTTCCATCTACAAATCCACATTGTTCAACGCTGATTTCTAGTTTAATTTTGTTTCGTATTCTTCTTATAATTATTCTCAGTAACATCTAAGTTATGTGTGTCATAAGACTTATTGTGCGATGGTTTTCACATTTTAAAATGCCTAGCTTCTTAGGCAGATCTATAATTATGGATTTTAAAAGGTCATTTGAAATGTACCCACAAAAAATTCTCCACAGTGGGACGGTATCCATTGCATAGTTACCTTACACCGGTTGCCTAGTTTGGAGAGTAGTATCCCTATACCGGGTAAGTTTTCAGATTCGAGTGCCCGAAGCACCGCTCTTGAGGCTGTCAGAAATACACAGGGTTGTGAAATATAACATATAATTTTCTGCTGCTTTTTATTTTTAATTTTGATGGCTTAAACCTCTGCATGATAGCTGTGACAGTGCTTTCCTGTTGGCGTTTTGGCTATATATCTGGAATTATTTGGATACTCAATGTCTGTACCTCCATTTCTGCTTGCGCTTTGTGCTGAATTATCCATGTAGACACGAACCCAAAGATCTTGTGGGTTTTTATCATCAAGAGACTGAGGGTGGATGTTCTAGTTGCACTTTTGTATTCTTCCTCGTCGAAAACTTTTTTCACTTCTGTACAGATGTGAATTGGCAACTTATAATCCTCTCTCCAGGGAGTCCGATCTCAGAATATCATTTAAAGGGTTATCTGTTGCAGACAGATTATTGGATTGGGTGCAGAGCCGTCGGGTTACTAAATTGCAGACCCTCAATACCACTAGGGAAATGAACGCGAAGCTGTCTGTTGCCAAACCGCGTGCAGTGGAAATTGAATCGCGAATTTCGAAATGACAAACAACCTCTACGCCATAAACGCTGATCCCGTACAACAAACCTACAAACACAGACATAGACAAATCTTACTCCCGTACGGCACCCAGAAAATATTGCAGTCTTTGTGACTTCTTCGCTAGCAATTTCTTGAGATATGAAAGGTAATGCTTTTAATAATTACCAAACCTACGACTTGTAATCTGCCTAATGCAGTCACGACATTGGTGCAAGTATTCTAAGCTATCTGTAAACAAAATCTAAGTTAAAAAGAAAGAAAACAAAAATTCTTCTGCTTGAAAGTTGACCAACGTCATAATATTTTCCAAATCTGTATCCTGGTCCATATATTTTTCAAATTATTTGAAATACCAAATTCTTCCTGCTTTGATCAAACTGTAATCGCGGTTTGGGATATACTTCGTGACCCTTGGTAATTTGAAAAGGTCAGCATTGTTAATTTTAAGTTTCCTTAAGACCATAAACACTGAAAAACCCATAGTTTAATCAGGTGATGGAGAAGTGGCTACACGCTCGCCTACGACTTAAAAGGTTTAGGGGCTAAATCCGCATCGACGCTGATTTTATTATTTAAAAACTGACTTTGCTCCCACGTTTAGCTATTCTAAAATGCGTACCGCGCAATGTTTA